GAAAGGGTTTGGCTTCTTCATTATAGTCTAAAAACTGCGAGAATACGCTTTGTATTTAATAACCTGAAGTAAGCCAGTGAGGTTTCCAAAGGAATTACAATTGGATATTAAAGTTTTTTTTTTGACCCAAATGTAGAAGAAGACAGAGAAGTAACCAAATCGTATCACTCCAGCTGAATTTAAGTGATAAATTTTGCTAACGTTCGACATCAATGCTGATGTAAAGCTTAAGCTAAAACGAAAATAAGCGTTTCAAAATTCAAACCAAGCACAACCAGGTCGGAGAGAGAAATCTGGTTTCTTTCACCAACAGCATCGAAGCATAGTCTGTAGGATCAGTTTTCACCGGTGAAAATAAAAAATCGGAGCAGCAAGCGGAATAATAAGCTTGACGAAATCCAAGTAGGGAGAATCAGAACGGTCACATTTTCGTTTGAATCCGGCGTTGACCTCGACGCTTATGATTTACGGACTGGAACTAGATTATCGGAGTCTCAAGCGGCAGCAGAAGAAGCGACTAATCATAGAGCGAGTTCCAAGGCCATCCGATGCCTTGCACCTCTAGAAATTTAGCTTTCATAGATCTCAAGGCACGACCGGGTTCAGTAAATGACTGACTTTTTGAGGTCTGAGATAGGTCGAGGTTTTGGAGTACAGAGTGCTACATCGTTATAAAGATTTGAGAGGTATTTAAAATTAAAACTAAGACGCAGACCAAGTAAGCTAAGGCTTACGCTGAGACATAAAAGTTCTAATGTTGGCATAGTAATGTTAATCCATTACAATATTTTTTATGCACAAAGCTTTGTGGCAGTCTCCGGCGACATAACGTTATCGACGCGTGACCTAGGAAATATTTTATTGAATGGAGCGAAGTTAACCTGACCACGCAACCGTGCCCTTAAGATAATATGATTGTAGAGCGAAATCTATTCGGGATCTCTTTAATTTTTTAATGTTCATAATTTCATTGGCCCTGGAATGGCTTGTGTCATTCTCCTCACCAATCAGATGTAAAGCTGCTATGAATTGCGACTTGGTCGTACGCGTTTTCCCGCGCTTGGACCCTTTGAATGCTCATTGGCTTTTTGTGACCTTTTTCCTCGGCTCTGATTGGCCGTTGTAATTACTTTGGTTTTTGGTTTTACGACACTCAATATAAGACACCTCAATCTGTCAATGTTCTTAATGACTTAAAATCGTGCTCGCCTTTCAACCTCCTCGGCGATTACTTCTCAAACATGCACAGAAAGCCATCCTTGCCTTGTCATTTCTGTAGGCGTTCTTGGTTCCTTTCATTCCAGAATCAGAAAGCTTGGTTTTTAAAAATACAAAAAAAAAAATTTTTATCAAAATATTATCAACTGGGAAAAACATTTTTACCTTTTAGCCTTGCTTCAAAATCAAGTTTTCAAAACTACCGAGTCACAATGATATCAGCATCATGATTCCATGAGCAAAACAGATCAGAAAAAATGTTGAACCAAGAAGAAATAATGAGAAAACCGGTAGCGAAGGCGCCTTAAAAAAGGACTCCTTTGCTTTTTTTAAGCTTATGGAAAATCCGCCTTCTTCCTGTCTGATTGCGGTGCTTCGATATTATTTTATTAGTGTTTCTTGCTTATTGATTAAACCCAAGAGAAATTATCTTCCTAGCTTGACGGACCTCAGTGATTGAGACATTTCATCCAGTATATTTTTCAGGATTTATGCGACTACATATTCATACAACTTGATATTCTGATGATTATTTTACTTAAAATGGCCGCAAATTCATTACGAAATATTTTGTTCAAGTAAACATCACGAACATTTGGTTAACTCTGAGCTTCTTACAAAAACTGTACTTCACATCATTCGGTTTAAAATGCAGTAGTAGACATTTCTTCTTTTCTAAAATCCCTATAATTTCACTAACAAAAAGCGCGCAAATGGCTTTGAGACGAAAAGCAGATTGCGATTTCAAACTCTGTTATCTGAAACAATATGCTGTTGTTTTGATATTTTATGGGTAAGAAGCGACTCAAACTAACCCATTTTTGACAAAACACTTAGAATTTAACTCGATACAAATGCATTCTCAGATTTTCATGACGCGCATGCAAAACAAGGATTAAAACGGACTGGCATTTCGTGCGATATCACGGCCGTTCTGTACAATTATGTAAATGAAAATTGTCAAGCCAATAAATGGTGAATCTTTAAATGCCGTAAGTTTTTGATTGAACTCAGAAAAATCATGTTCTTACCATTTCATTACGATGCTTTGTGTTCAAAGAACGTATCTCGTCTGGTAAAGACCGGCGTAGAGAGACTCAAACATGCAAAAATCTCCCGTGAGACAACAAATCGAGTATTAAACATTATAACGCTGGACTTGTCGTCGCCATTTGGGTTGTAATAGAGTTGCGGTTTTTGTTCAACTGACATTTTGCTCTTAATTCTTTGCGATAAGACTTTTAACTGATTCCGCCGGCGTCTACAGATCTTTACTGCTGCTTAGCACTTGAATAAAATTAAAAAAACACTCACAGGGAATTTTGATTCAATCTCTGAAATGTTTTGGGAAAATATAAACGGAGTAGCTAATAAACAAACCTTTCGTTTTCGTAATATAAAAAACAGACTATCCTGTACTTTTGTCATGAGTATTTACTTCCGAAAAAGATTTATGATCATCTTAGAGAGCAGTAAAACTGAAGGGAAAAATTATGATAGTTCTCAAGGCAGCCTAAATTAGGGTACTGAGCCCGCGAACATCACTGTTACATTAAGCCTCCATTTCATGCAAAAGTAGCGTGGGCCTCAGATCAAAACTGTCATTGTGGTCCCTGTTACCTCCGCAGTGGCTCCTCACCAGGTCTCTAATGAACACCATCGACCATAAGTTCAACTTAGACCAAGGCACAATTTTGCCCACTTTGAAACTCTATAAATTTCCTGCTGACCAACAAAACAGAAAAATGGGGTTAAAAAAGAGTGGGCTTTGACTTATGTAAAGTGTTACACTGAGAATTTTCACATGAATCATGTTTCGAAAAGTACGTTTTTCACGAGTGTCGCGAAACCAAACCAAACAATTACTATAGCCAATCAGAACCAAGGGTAAATCATTAGGAGCCAGTGAGAAAGTATCGTGCATGTAAACAACCTCGAGCGCGGGAGAACACCCATGCCGCGATTGGTTCGGATCTCTTGAGCATTTCATAATTGAATGTTTAAAGTAATCCGGGACTGCTTTGGTTTTGCCTTTCTTCGCTCTGTGATTGGTCCAGAAAATTTGCGCCACCCTCTCAACCAATCAGATGCAAACTAAAACCAGTCACGACTGGGTCGCTCGCGCTTTCCCGCGCTTTGAGTTCTCAGTGGCTCTTCATGTTATTTTCTATTTTTTCGATTAGCCGTTGTGAATACTTTGATCAGTTACACGAGACGCAATCGAAAAACGCCTTAATCTTATTGGCGGAGACCAAACCAATCAGCAAAATGATGCAAGAGTAATATAATGTCGGATTATTTGACTGGCACAAGGAAAAAATGCTCGTATTTTACTTGCAAATAGCTTATTTTGTGTGCCTCTTTCGTCCACCTTCCTTGAAAAAATTTGGTGCTCGATACCGAAGCGAGTGACTCCTTTAGCAGGATAGTTGTAACATGTTTACTGAAAACATTGATTCAAGTGACATATTAATTATTTAGGAAGAGCGAAAACCTCACAATTATAATTGCCGAGGACAATCTAATCACTTAAAAAATGATAAATTATTTAAGTTCTTTTTTTAAATTCACATTTAGGTACGTATTTATAACTTGACAGTTCTGCCTATAATACACACCTGTAATATTTGAATATTTTAGTGCCATCAAATGACCCAAAGAATCTTTAGATGAGCCGCTAAAAGTAAATATGTCGCATAAAAGTCTTAAACAGCTTGAATAAAAGAGTTGCCAAGGAAAAAGTGAAATATTTCAACGGTTCTTGAAATCAGCCTTTTTCTGTGTTAATATAATTTTTTGCCAAAGCTTGCAAACTTGAATTGTTGCAGATATAGCGGCGCGTAGTTTTAACAGAACGGGAACAAATTGTTATAAAAGCGCTTCGGCAATACTTTTTGAATTTTTTTATCTAAGGGATTATGCGGACAGAAAGGTATTAGCATACATTTTGAATTGGATTTTAATCATGGAGGAAGATTTTATGTACCCTTTTAACAGAATTTAATAAGTCAGCAAACCTATTGAAGAACGAAATCCCAATTAAACCATTGTATGCTAGGTAAACCACAATTTAATACGTGTGAATTAAATTTCAAGACAAATTTTTAAGGTCATAATTGTAAATATGCGCATATGAAATAAAATAATACTTTGCACACGATGACGCGAAGCGTTTTTTCAATTAAGACTTTTTAAAACCAGCGTAAATCGCTCCATTTTTAGGTGAAAATGAGCAAAAGCACCTTGATAAATTCTATTTGCAATGTTCAGCCTGGCATGTGAGGGATTTCTGAATATAAAATAAAACAAGATTCGAAAATTTTCGAAACGGTTAACATAGGAGCAAAAATTCCCAACTTTCTACGTCTCCGAAACCGTTCAAAGGAAGAGAAATTTTTGCCCCGGTCTTCAAAAGAAAAAACCAAACAAAAACTGGAAGGAGTAAAGGGAGGAAAAAAAAAGGAATGGAATGAAAATTGTAGCTGTTCCGATTCTGAAAACTGGGGCGGCATTTTTCTTCGGATTAAGTAATTTCTTATGTCACCGTAGACTCATTTCAATGCAGTCTGTTTTCCGATATGTTTGTTAGTTCGTTTTTGCTTTTACTTCTTCGGGGTTAGAACTTTAGTGAAAATGTTTCTCTTGCTTTTCGAAAAAAAATTGAGGTTCTATTTTGAGTTGCCCCGCGGTTAAAAAAAAAATTAAGACAATTTATAGATACAGTGTTTATATTTTTCTGTTCAAGGGCTTGAGGGCTTGGAACCTATCATTAGCTCGTATCTCTGCTAAGGCTTAATAGTGACGTGGTGGATAAAACTCGTTAATCTGCATATCTAGCTATTAGTATCTAGTCACATCTGACTAAACTCACAGATCGTCATCCTTGCATTTATTTCAATGATAATTAGGACACTGGCAGCTGAACGGCGACAATAGAAGATCCAAAAAAACCGCAAATAGTCGCCTAGGATCGAAATGGATTTTCCCTCTCCCAAGCTACAGCCAAAGTAACGATCATTCGAACGCTTCGGGGTGAATTCTGATTGAAGGGAAAAATCTTCCGCTATTTTGGGAAGAAATAGAAAAAAATCGTCCGCTTTCTCGCCAAGTTTGGAGATTTTCGATCGATCGCTGGTTGCATGCGCTAGTTGAGTGTCAATTATGGCTTACAGTAGTAGCTGGAAACGAATGAAAAAAGTGTTTTCGTGGGGAAAGAAGAATCGGAATTCTCAGCCACCACCTCCCACACCTTATAACGACGAACTTACATCATCACCAGGTAATATGCCTGTTTTTTCTTCACCGCAAAACAAAACTGTTCTAATATTTGCTCTAGCTTCTAGGCTTTTAGTTTACTTACGTTATTGCATTACCGAAATCTAGCTCTATGACAGATTTTGAAATCACAAGGCCTTCTGGTTTCGTGGTTAATTTTTTTGGTCAGTTTGAAATCCTCTTTTGGTCAGGCAACCAGTTGATTTTGCAGGAGTTGCACTCAAAATTGCCCCTTGTCTTTATCAAGATAAAGGCCTACAAAAACAACGATGGTTTTATATACCAAGTACACTGAACCTAGATACATGCTCAAATTTTAGAAGACTGAATTATCCACAGCCCACAGGCTGAAATATATATATATATATATATATATATATATATATTTTTTTTTTTAAGCGAATATTGCTGTCAAAATGTCGTTATTTTCAATTCAACGTTCTTATTTTCTCGAGTTTTTTAAAAGAAAAGACAAACATGTTTCCTGCGGTGTTGAAAACTTTAAGATATTAATTCTATGGAGTAGACAAAAATTCTACTTGAAGTCTTAATGTCGTTTGAAGCAGCCGGCCATTTTGGCTTGTATATGTCTAATGTGCACAAGGCCGATTCCGTTGGTAAACATGACAGATATATTAATTTAAGGCCACGCACAGCCAAGCGTAGACAGTTTATTCTGTTGTTTTAGTGAAAGCATATTTTATTCCTACAGTGTATAATGTAGTGGTGACTCTGTGGTCGTTCATTTGGCTGTTCTGCGCGCCTCAAAATTTTTGTTGAGAATATTGAGATTAAAAAGCGACGCACGAACAAATTTTTAGTGAATTTTGACTTAAAAGATTGTCTTCTGACTATTATAACCCTGAAATATAAACACATTCAATTCTTCAAGAAATACAATGTTTTCGTTACGTTTCTGTCGGTGGTTTGAGGTTTAAAAGAGATCAGCTGCGTAAGAGAGTTTAGACTTAAACTTAAAAGTCCAGCTGCGGTACTTTTAAGCGATACAAGTCACAAAAATGGTATATGGACTTTAAGAATATAATTAAGTCAAATGGTCGAAAATTCGACCGCTTACGCCCAGTGAGGTCTTTGTTAGATGGTGATAGTAGAGTGAAAAAACCGTACTTTAGAATTTTTATTGATAAAGGACCTGATTTCGCTTACAAAAAGACAAATTCTGTTCCGCAAATGAAATTATGTAGCAGATCATTTACCCGCCTCAGAAAAAAAAAACATTTAACAGCGTCGTCCATTCCTTTTATAACCTATAGTCGCGTATTTGGTTAATAAATTCTCTCGTCAAAATTGACAAGCAGGACAATTATTCTGACAAGTCATCTTTAGATTTCAAACGGAATATTTTTTATTATAAGTCGTTGGGCTGTAATTTGCATTAAAGTTTCTTTTGAAATTTTTTTTTGACAGCCTGCCGCGGGCCGCCTCGCCGCTCACGTCTTTTAAATGTTGATAAGGTCACTTTCATTCCGCTAAAACGTTTGCGGCATGTTCATTTCGATTCTGTTACTGAATCGGAACCATACTTCGAGAAAGGCTTCCATCGATATATTAAATCTAACCTCATAGACAATATATTTCGATGCGAGCAATTTCACCGACAATAGGTCCTTAAAGAGAACAATTTACATCTTGAAAATGTCGAGATTAAAATTCAGACAGAACTCTTGCGGTAACCATTGGTAACCGCGGAATTTAGCCGTGAGTGAACTGAAAGAGATTCAAAACAATGGAGATTAAAGTGGCCTATCTGGCCTGTTTTGAATACAAAAAAATTCAACACGTAAGAGTTCGGAAGGCGATAATTTGAAATATGTGCTAAAGACTCACGCCATTGACTGAAAATTATTGTTCTTTGGATAATACATTATCTTGAAATATTGTTCGACATAAGAACATATTTGCCAGCAAAGATAAACTGAATTTGGCATTTTATTGGTAAAATGAGCAAGGGTAATGTTTTGTGCTACCAAGGAAACCCATTTCAAAGTAAACAAACTGCAGTCGAAGAAGATGATTGGCTATTTTGTAAAACCCACTGATCTCATTGGCTACCAGCAAAGGCTGCCTTGTCTTGAATGACGTTTACCGCCAAAGCTACACGCAGGCGCATTGACTGCGTAACTAGGATCTTTCCGCAATTGAACTTTAAGCTCACAACAGCGCCAGCTCGTAAGTGATATGAGGGTTAATGTGTAAAGCTTGAAAACAGATCGTTGTGTTTGATGTGGAAGTATTATTTTGGGAAATTTGGATATGGAAATGGAATTGGAAATACCCGGTGGTTTGACGGATTTGCTGCAAGAGTTTACTTACCAAGTTTTGTCAGAGAAGCCTGACGATATCGTTGAGTTTGCAGCCAATTACTTCATGAAACTTAAAATAAAAGAGAAGCGCTCAAAGGACGGAACGAAAAAGAAGTCGAAAGGTGTCAGCTTTCATGCTGAAGAGAACGGTGGTGACAATTCTGACGACGAGGACGACGAAGAAGATATAGGTATATACTGTGTAGAAGTCAATCAATCATCATTTTGATCAAGCGAGCTATCTGACAACGAAGTCCCGAAACTCCGGAAGGATTTCAAGAACTCTCCAGGCGTTTATTTCATCAGCTCATTGCTCTTTTTGTTAATATGACTTTTGTCTCATTAGTTATGGCATGATTGTCAGGTGAAAGAGTTATCTTTGTTTACAACCTGTGGTTTGTACGTGCTGTAGTTTAACTCAATGCACAGCGACTACCTTTTTATGCTTTTATTTTCATTGTCACCAATGAAATAAAAAAATGGGAAATAAAACTATGTGTGGCGTTGTTCTCTTACCTCTGTAATTGATGAGATTGTTTTGAATATATTTCAGAGCCCCCAAAAAACCGATATGCAAGACGCCAGTCTGGTAAGTTACACACGTCGTTAATTTTATTCCGTTGTTTATTTCAGTATTCAATCCATTTCTCAAATGCCATGCCAAGTTTTATTTTCGGGTTGCTCCGTAACGCATTAAGCGGTTAATAAGTGAAATTAGCTCCGTAGGTTTGTGTTCTCTTGATCTAATATCAGTGTAAAAATTGTGATGAACTTTGTTATTTGATTATGAAATATGAGATGGAGTACGAGAGAGTTCGTTGGCGCAAAACGCAATTTACGTTTCAAATAAGACATTTCGCGCACATTTTTAATCTATCGCTGTAATTTTTTTCAGTTTGTGCCGAACCATTAAACCCTGATTCGGACGACGAAGGCGATGAGAACCCGGTTAGTATCAAAGAGCTAAATCGATTATCATTTCACGTTTGGTTTTGGCTAAGTCCCTATTTGTTTGTACATTGGATGCAGAGAAATCTGCATTATTTTGCTTAAATTAATCCTTCTTTTGTTTAAAGTTAGTTCAGGCGATTTTATTTGCAAACAGTTGCTCGCTGGAGATAACTTAATTTTAAATAAAGCCTTCTTTATCTTCGTACTAAAGCGCATTTGTCTGAAGTCAAAACACAGAAGCCATCTTGTGTTTGCAGTATATTTGTTTAAAGAGCGTAGCAAAGTAATTTTGGTCAGTTTCCTGTCCATGTTTTTTCTTGTATTGTGCATCTGTCACCCAGCATAATCGTACTGAGAGCTATTAGCATGAAAATTCAAGCATTATTTGAAATGTGATATGTTGTCCTAGTGATAAAAAAATATTCAAGTTCATAAGTGTATCTTGTATCATTGCAATATATGCTATCTTAATCTTGTTGCTTATGGTTGTGCGGAAAATTTTTTTTAAATCGATTTGCACCCAGGGGAAAAATTGTTCATAAACATGAGAGATATTTAAGATAGTGTCCTGCTGGGCTATAATTAAATGCCTGCTACCATCAGGTGCTTTCCGAATGATGCTAATCGATAAAGTTAAATATTGCTCCTGGGTTATATTTTTAAAACCTAGATTGAATCTTTTTTTCCTTTGGAGATTATATAAGGTATTTTAAGCATAGTTAGAGCCATGGACATGCTTGTATTTTGCGATTTATAAATATTAGTGGTGTTTTGAGAGTTTTTGTAACTGCTCAAGCTGTAGGTGAGTTAATTTGCAAATCTGTCAAACATCACAAGTGATCCTTAATTACAAAATGCATGAGCAGTTCATGCATTTTTAAGATTAAACCTTGTGATAATAACAATCTTTTTTGTAATTTTAATGAGAAAATAAAATTATGATTATGATTTTAAACTCATTTTTAATTTCATGTCGGTGTCCTGGTTTTTTTTTTGGTGTGTGTGGCAACACCAAGATTTGATGAAAAAAATTGAGATAAAAGCAAAAAACTTAAAACCATCTTGGGGTATAGTGTTAAAAAATATCTTAAGTTGTCTTAAAAAATGAATACTTTATGACGTTTGGATAATGTTATTGTTAAGTCAAGAAATAATATGAAGGGTGCATTTAAATATAGAAAGAAATGACAATCCTATAGAGTTATGAAAACAATAGTAAAGACTAAAACAATGATAAAATACATGTGTTAAGGAGGAGAACAAAATGATGTAACAACAGAGGGATAAATATGCCCATAGAATTTTGAAATTTCCATTATATGTTTCTTGTCATTTGACTTACCATATGTAAACACATTTTACAAAATATTTTAATATATAGAGGAACTGTCTATCATCAAGATCACAAAGTGATATTTATTTGTCAGCAAAAATTCTGTTTTTACACATGGTAAAATGTTTTTATCATATGACTTACCATATGTAAACATGTTTTACAAAATATTTTCATATACAAAGGAGCTGTCTATCATCAAGATCACAAAATAATATTTACTAGACAGCAAAAATTCTTTTTTTTTTTTTTGCATCATGGTAAAATTTTTTTATCATGCTGGTCTTGAAATCAATCTTACTTTGTTTACAGATTGTCTATCCAAAAACTGACGACCAAAGGAAACGTCTAAATGATGCAGTCAGGAATATTTTACTCTTCAAGAATGTAGCTCCTGTAAGTTTTTGATGGTCTGAGTATGGTTTATTTGAAGTTAACCTCTCAGTTTGTTTTGTTTTGATGTTTCTCTTGTACTGTTTAATTTTAAAAGAGATTTTTGCCTCTATAGGGAAAAAAAAGGGGGGAGGAGGGAGGGGGGGTTTGGTGGCAGAACACACTAGTACAAATTTGACAAAAAAAAGAGATTGTTATAAACTTTCAGACAAGAAAAATATTAAAAAATTCACAATCCAGCAAAAGTAGCCAGGTAAGCACAAAGCTGTAGGAGTGCAGAACTTGCACAACTTTTTCCAGACTGGGTTACCTTATCCTCTCCTATCTTACACACATAAGCTTTCATTATTGTTTCTATGGTATTTTGTGAGTGGAACTGGATAGGTCTTGTAATAAATTTAATTATTCCCATCTGCTAGTGTTGTAATTGTCCAGGGTAACTCTTAACTTAACATTACCCAAACTGTTGTCATATCAGTCAAAAACAGCATGCCCTGTAACTGTTCAGAGATTAGATAAGTGAATGAATGAATGAAAATTATGAATTTTTACTTCAAAATTCAACTAAATTCATTGCTTGATATTCTGCAAATCAAAGTCATCTAGTGAACACATAACCTGAAATTTTCCTTAACTCTTTTTCAGGAGCAACTAAATGAGGTTCTTGATGCAATGTTTGAGCGAAAAGTGCAACCAGGAGATCATGTTATAGACCAGGGAGATGATGGTGACAATTTTTATGTCATAGACAAGTAGGTGTTGCATTCTAAATGCTCAGTTTTTCATAGAAAATTGTTGGAGAAATATTAGTATAATTAACTCTCATGAGTGACCAAGACAGAATTTCTCCTTACAGTATTAATACAATATTGAGCAGAGATGAGAATAAAGAAAAATATCAGTTAGGGGATTTTAATTTGATCTAATACCAAATTCTCCAAACTAACATCTGAAGAACTGTATGGCACATAGTTAGGAGAATTACTAATGAGATCTTGGGAGTTCAAGGGTTCAATACTACCTTACCTTTCTATAGTGCTCATTTTTATCAAATTTTATCGAAAATACTGAAGAAGTCTTAGTTTGCTAAACCCTAGATAAACATTTTGTACGGTAATGACAAGTAAAATTTGTTAAACAATCAGGATCTTCTTGAAATGGTGATCATTTCTTTTATTCTCATGACCTCAATGTGTGATTCAAGAATGATACTGTGAGGAGAAACTAGAGGCAGTCACTCTTAGGGGTTGAAAGGATGACTTTTGTTATTGATTGTTAGACTCTTAACTCTCGAAGTGCCGCACACAGCCATGTAAAATTTAATGGTCACCAGTGTACTGCCAGAGACCTCAACTATCCAGTAGCTTTATGTACTCCTTTTTCTTACCATTTGTGATATAATTTTATGTTTATTTGTGTTTTTAATTTTAAACAGGGGCATTTTTGACATTTATGTGAAAATTGAGGGCAATGATAAACTGGTAGGAATTGTTACTTGTATTTTAGTGTACTTTTGTGAAATTTTTTAGAAATTGTGCGCTTCAAATAATAAACAGTAAAATATCTTTAATTTACCTAGTTTTTGAAAACACCACCGACCATTTTACAAAAAGAAAAAAATGTAGATGCAGATTTCTTCCTAGTTATACAGAGCTACAATCCTAGCCAAAATTGATAGGAAAACACCCCTTTTTCCTCATTCGCCTCTCATATCTCATATAATTTGCAAGTTAATTTCATTTTCCTAACACACACACACAAAACCAAAAAAACTTGCCAAAAATCCCCTCCCCCCCCACCCATAGCTGCTTTGGGTGTTGAAATTGATACCCTATCCCAAGACCATTCAAGAGTGGCTGAATCTAAACATACAACGTAGATGGAATTGCTGTTGAAAAAGGAATGTTTTGGCCAAGAATCTAGGCACAAATCGGCAATCACACACAGCTGAACCTCTACCAATAGATACCTAGTTTTAGTCACAGTTGTACCATCTTGTTTGTGAACATTCTGGCCATTCTCACAGGTGTTGGGGATCAATGTCAGTATCTGAGCACCTACCCCTCCCTTAACCCAACATTAACTCGAACTTGTTATCTTTTGATTGTTGTTGGGTCAGGGAAGGGGTAGGTGCTCAGTTGCTCAGATACTGACATTAAACTAATGTTAGTTTATAAGCTTTGATGGTGATGTGGAACATTCACTGAATTGTTGAATAGTGGCAATAGGACTGAGTGGAGTCAAATTTGGTCTATAATGTATGAATGAGTAACAAATTTGGATGACTGCAAAGTAGGAGTTTTATTTGTTAAAAACAAATGTGATTACAGATAGAAACGGAAGACACAAAGTCCTGTTGCCAATAGATCAAAACTATGCCAATCACTTAGACATTTTCATAAGAAAAACAACAGTTAACTTGGCAGCATGTGTGACGACAGCTCACACACTTTACATGTACTGTTCAATTTCCTAGGCATGACACTTACACTGTCCAGTCACACTGTCCAATTTCACTGTTCAATAGAAAGTGATGCATATACATTGTGCAATTAGTGCTCAAATTAGGCTGGTGATAACCAACCACACTCCAGAATTTTGATATGTAGTGTTGATCAACAGGTGGTGATGCGAGGAGAATTGCACTAGCAAACTACCCTTAGAATTTAATTTTTACTTTAAGAAAAATATAGTCTTCAATGAGGTGTACTTATTATTTACTTTAACTGTTGATAGGTTGGTGCTTACAATGGAAAGGGAAGTTTTGGCGAACTTGCATTGATGTATAACACACCAAGGTAACTTCATACATCATCACAAACACTACATAAAATTTATCATCGGCATCTCTTTGAGTATTAACCCTTTACATCCTAAGATCAGCATGCATATTCTTCATACTGTTTTCTATTCAACTCCTAAGGTGCTGACAAAGAGAATATGTTTATCAGTCGAGAGAATATTTAGTTGGTGATCATTCCCTTCATTCTCATAACCTTACTGTGTAATGCAGGGATTATGCTGTTGGGAGAAATTATATGTTAGTCACTCTTGGGGGTTAAAGGATTCATTGAATGTTGAATAGGGAAGGCAGTGGAATGAAAGTGGATGGGTAGAAATTAAAACCTATGATAATCTGCATGATTTTGACGAGGGAGGGCTCAGTATTCTCTTGGTGACAGTCAGCTGCCATCTTTGATTTTTATGGCACGAAAGGAGTGAGCGACGGTCAAAAGGAAGGAGGGGGGGGAGGGGGAGGCAATAAATATTTTTGCCTTTCCTTGCCACCTCTCCCACGGTCTACTTTAACTCTACATCAAACATGGCTGGTTGAATAAACAATTGTGAGCTTTTTTTAAAATGTTAACTCTCCTAAAAAGATGCCTGCGCTTCAGGCTATACCAGTGGAGGACTTCTGATTATGTGGTTTGACCTGAGGCATTTGAGAGTGTGATTGCTCAATATTTTGGAGGTGAAAATTGTGGCTGCCATCTTTGATTTTTACAGCAGTAGAAGGCTCATTAGGGAGAGAAAAATTTGTGTTTAAGGGGTGAGCAATGGTGGACAGGAAGGAGAGGGGAGGGGTGGGGCAATAGGAAATCCCAAAAGGGATTGTCAGAGAAAATAAAACCCTGCGAGGATCCTAAGAAAGTAATTTTTGTGGATGAGTGACAGCAAGGGTGCCCATTAAACCATTTTCTCTTTGCAGAGCGGCAACAATAGTGGCAACTTCAGAAGGAATTCTCTGGGCTCTGGTAAGAAAACATGTTTTATTTCCATAAATTTCAGTGTCTGATTTTATACTGATAGCCTTGTAGAAGACTTGATTGCCAAAACTTTGGGCTAATGAAGTACTGGTTATTTAAACAGGACAGAAATACGTTTAGGAGGATACTATTAAAGGCTGCAGCCAAAAAGGTGAGTGCTGTACTAAATCCAAATATCTGTATAATTATGTTCTGAAATCCTCTTAATCCTTACACTCCCAAGATCTAATTAGTAATTCTCCTTACTATCTGCCATATAATTCTCATGATGTTAGTTCAGAGAATTTGGTATCGGATCAACTAATAATCCAATAATTGATATTATTCTCTATTCTCATCACCTACCTGCTTGGTATTGTATAGATATTGTAAGGAGAAATTCTGTCTTGGTCACTTGTGGGAGTGAAAGAGTTAAATTCAAGATGTCATTCTTTCTTTTTGTTGGAATTACTGTGAAAGCCAGAAAACCATGAGTGCTTTGATTTGATTCTTAAAAGTCAGCTGTGTATTTGCTGATCACTGGCAATAAAATCCAGCACATCTGCAAACCTCAAAACCACAAAATAGTTGCTATTGCTATCTGTAGATTAGTTTACTTGCTCCTCACTGGTGCAGTATACATGTGGACATATTACAGGTGTCTGTAGTTTTCAGCATCTCAGTTTATAAAAATATGACTGTTTCACTACGATTGGTATTAAAACCATTATTGTCTCATTATCACCTTTATTAGTAGGGGTTTTAATAAATTTTACCATAAGGGGCTGCTGATGGTGTTCTTGGCGGCTGTGCCCAAAAAGGGGCCACAGGGCAAAACCTTAATATGAGAGCCTGTCCACAGGCTTAAAAGACAGTAGTGAGAGGTTTTTCAGGGGGCAGTAGACTGCTATTAACCAGCTTTCACGGAAACTTCTGTTACAAGTCTTGTTATTGTTGTAGTTAGTGTTTCAAGACTACTTTATGATGTAGGGAACAATGCTAACAAGATACCATTCTCTTGGAGGTAGAGGTTCAGTCACTGTTAAGGGGTGAATTTTTAAAACTTTCCTCTGCTGAAGTGACTTTATACAACTGTAAAAGATCAATTTGTCACTTGAATGTTTAACCTAAGTTTTGTTTTCTATTTTCAGAGGAAAATACATGAAAAGTTACTAGAGCAAGTTCCCATGCTGAAGGAAGTTACGGTAAGAACGTTTCCTCATCCTCCTCAATTTGCTTTAATAGAACTGATTGCTTAAGTGAGACTCTGTGAAAGAATAAGATTTTAAAGTTTCACATCAAATTGGAGATATTGTTTTCCCTTGTCAGAGACAAGTGTTTAAAAAATGACTGAAATTATTTCAAGGTAAATACCTCGGATTTTTCCCAAATGTCAGAGAAAATCGAGTGAAAAGGAGTTTGTAGACTTTGTTTTCTAGTTGTCTTAAGCCTTAAAAGAGATTTGTTGCGTGTATCTCGAACACTGACTGCAGTTTGGTTTACTACTAAAATCTTGAACCAGGAGCATAGTCACTGAAACTGTGGCAGAGGTCTGTTTTGGGGAGAAACTATCGGGAAAATCTAAATGTTCCGATCAATGGTACTAATGAGTTGGTTTTGTGGTAAATAGCGTTGTATTTTCATAATTTATCTTCAGGACTATGAGATCATGAATCTAGCGGATGCACTTCAGTCCAGGACGTTCAAAGATGGAGATTGTGTGATCCAGCAGGTAAGAGAATTACATATATTTAACCCATAACACCCTGACATCAGTATGCATATTCTCCACACTGTCGTCCATGTATTCCTAAGGTACTGATAAGGAGAATTTGTATAACGATCTAGTGGTTCTTTAACTGGTGATCGTTTCTCTTGTCCTTGTGACCTTGGTGTGTGTGTTTTAAGGGGTGATGTTGAAAGGACAAATTAGATGCCAGTCTCTTCTAAGTGTAAAAGGGGTGAGGAAAGCTATCATGTAGTGAACATTATTATAACCGTTTTTTTTTTCAAGACGACATTATTAGTTCGACTTTCATATAACTGCCAATCTTTTCTGTAACTCAAATCATTAAATCCGCTCTCTGTTATGCACCGCTAGCCCATAATATGCATCCTTCGTGGGTCGATTTTAAAAAGCAACCTTTCACAGGAGACTTTAACTGGTAGTCTCTTCTTTGCAGGGAGATGAAGCAGATTGTATGTTCTTCGTAGAGAGCGGAGTAGCATCTATCAGGATACGCAATCAGGTACAGACTCCACCCTCATCTGTTTTTCCATTTTGATTTGAAACACAAGATCATGACTTTTTTCCTGCCAAAAAAAAAAACAAAAACAATGGAAGTAGGGAAGTTAGTTAGTCTATTAAAGTAAGTTTGGTAAAGCAATAATCCTCGCAGGCCTCGACGGGATTCAATCCCGTGCCTCCCAGTTACTACTTTTGAGATGTGTCCATTTGTTATCAGCTTTTGTCATGGTTCATGTGGTTTTCTCTTGTTTTCGTTTGTACCCATTTTCGGCTGTCTTTATTTTCTCTTACGTCAAAGACCTCTTAACTATGCATTTGCCGTATTTTAGCCATGACATGATGTCCTGTCTATTTTGCTCCGTAGGATGATCCTACAGAAGAAGTGGAACTGACACAGTGTACAAAAGGGGGTTACTTTGGTGAACTGGCGCTTGTTACCCACAAACCACGTGCTGCGTCGGTGTATGCAGTAGGAGACCTTGTCACTGCGGGTAGGCTGGAAAATGTTAATTAAAGCGCTTTTCGTTTAAATTTTCCTAAAACAACATTAGTAAAGTGGCCAATCAGAATAAAAGGAAGTATTATAACAACCCAATGAGAACTCAAATCGTGTTAGCTGTCTCAAGCGCGAGAAAACACGAAAAGCCGTGTAACTATTGACTTGAGTTTGTTGTCATTGGTGGAAAAGGTGGCACACGGTTTGCGGGCCAATCACAGCGAAGTAAAACGAAACCAACACAATCTCGGATGATTTTTAACGCTCGATTGAAGAATTCTTCGTGTTGCTTAGCGATATCTTGGGAAAGACATTTACGGGAAGTTGCAGATTACTTCAGTAAGCCCGTCACCATCAACACTCCTACGATACGGCCGCCATCATCACGGCAGTTATTATGTTGTAACTAGCATTAACAGTATTTCGATGATAATTTTTGTTTGGAAGGTTTGCGTGAAACTGTTCTTGAGGATGGGGAAGAAATTTAAAAAACAGTGTAAGGAAAAAAATGCACCAAAAGAAATTCGTGCCAGCAAGAAACAAGCAGACAAAAAATTCATCCATTGACGTTCAAAACCTTTATTAAGGGAACGAAAATATTCGTGCAACATTTCATCAACAACAACAGCAACAGCGAAACCCATGTCTAGAAACAACCAGAATTTCCGTTTTTTCACCTTTTAATTTTATCAGTGCTCCAACCCTAATTTGATAAGGAAGTTGAAGAACCCTTCTTGAAGGAGCTAAAAATAAGACTTCTTGTAAAGAGCTCAAACGTCTTCTTTTTTCTCCTTTTCTTTAGTTCTCGACGTGCACGCTTTTGAAAGGCTTCTTGGCCCTTGTATGGATATTATGAAGAGAAATATCGATGGTTATGAAGACCAGCTGAAAAAACTTGGCATCGGGGGCACAGAACTACGGTGAAGTGCTTTGAAAAAGATCATGATTTTAAAACTGCTCTAGGATGGCCTTTTTTTAGTAACATCTACCGTTTCTTTACCACTTCACCTTGTCAACAATTTGTTTGGAGTTTCCAAGCGGGAAAATTATCTCTATATCCGATTTTGTTCCGTTAAGTATTTAAAAAATGGTTTAATCTTAGTTATCGTGTTGAAAAAGAAGAAGAAATGAATTGAATCATAATTTATTGTTTTATTGAATCACTTTGTTACATGTGAGATAGAACGCACGAGATACGTTTATTACAATTCTGTTGACTTGGAATGTAAATAAAACATGTTTATTAAAAATAGCAGTTTTGATCGTGTTTCGTACGCACTGGGCTCAGAGATGTAATCTTGTGCTTTCTCCTTCCAAGTAACTTTTTCTTGGAGTGTTTTTTGTTGAAAGATTTTTTCTAATGAGAATTTTAACGTTTAAGAGTACAAACTGGGTTTGCGTTCAGTAAAGTGTTTGAGAGCACCTAATGGGTCGTAGCTCGGAAACGCAACCTGATAACTAATTCGGATCTACATTTTAGGAGCCGTTGAATATGAGGTAAAGAAAAATTCATAACAGTGTTATAGAAACACATTGTTAAGGTACAAAATTTAATAAAATCTTCAGTAAAACCATATAAATCTGAAATGGCGCCGATGTTGAAAACAACTCTGAAGTGTCAAATCCAATCTACAGTTGTTGCGCGCTTAGTTGCCAGGCCTAAGAACAGGAGTGAGGTTGAGGAGTGGGCATGATACCAGAGACGTAGTGGCCTGGTGCTGAATGCACAGGGCTTCGGGTCGAGACGGCCGGCTTTAAGACGTGACCGGGTCAGTGAGTTGTGTTCCTGGGCAGAATGCGTTACTTTCACAGTGTCTCTTTCCACTAAAAATCAGCTTTCGTAAATTTGAAGCACTAGCCAAAGAAAGAAAATGTAAAACCATTTCTGGAACGAAGGCGAGGCAACAAAAAGAAGGAAGGAAGGACACAACTCATCAAAACATTTTTATTTTACAGTGGTCCATTGTCTGTTTATCTACCTGAATTACGACAGTCAAGAGAAGTGAAAATTTCACATCAACAATAAGTAGAGAGGGCTTGGCGAGGGAGCGAGTAAGGCGTACGAGGGCGGCCGGCATGGTTCGCATGCTTCTCATGCTTCTCATGCTTATGCTTGTGTTGTTCCCACGCGTGACAAACTCGCTCCATGCAGGTTCTCAGCCAAGCGCCCACCATGCAGATTGTAAGCTGTACACTACACAAAGCTAAGTAAGATCAGAATTTAGAGTTATGAAACCTCAAACACGGTAGTCACAACGGCCAATTAAGACGAAGTACTAACAGTCGCCAGTGAGAAATTCACGTACACATAGCGAACTATCACAGAGCGAAAAAAAAAATATGTAAGGCCACAGCAGTAGTAGTGTGCGAGCAGGCCATCATTATAAGCGCTTCGGCACTCGCGAGAAAGTATGAGGTCTTGAGCGACACGAGCCGACAGGAGAACGGCAAACCTCTCCCCAACTCGTCTTTAATCTTCCCGGTGGCGGAAAAACACGTGTCTTGCAGCGCCATTAATGAGAGCCTGCTCCCATGCTAAAGTAACAATGGGTTCCTTTTGACACATGATTGAAAATTGCTCAATAGTAGGTCTCATATCGATTAAAATTTCCCTTGAATCACAACAAATTCTAGTCTTAAATTTCCGCAATGTTCTCCCAAATGGAAATAAATATACCTTTGTGCTACTAAGTAATGATTGAAAAAAAAAAAAAAAGGAAACATATGGACGCCTGTACAACAATTAATGGAGAAGAAACCCTTTTCATATAAAATTTCGCGATACTTTGAATACTGTTAATTCAACGGTGAAACTTTGTACATTGCGAAAAGAAAAGAAAAGAAGTCAAAGTTTTAACTGTTTCGTGACCAACTAGAATCATGTAACACTTCGTTACAGTGTTTGTCACGCAATCTTCCTGAACAGCGTTGCAATCCAATGAGTCCAACACGGTAGAGTCAATATCTAGACAGTGCAATTGACCATCAACGGAAAAAAAATCCGCAAAATAGTGTCGGAATTTCCTCCAGCACAACATCGGGTGAAGTTTTCCCACAAAAATGAGTTTACAAACTCCACCGTCATATAAGCAAACAGGAAACGTCGCTACTGTACCGAGGTCATCCGAGGTGAGGTGTGTAACCCCGCTGTCGCTCTCAGAATAAACAAGAAGCGTTTGCATGCTCTCATTATTCTAAGACAAAGCGACAGCAGGGTCTAACCTCAGCAGCCAGAAGCGGCAACGTCCGCTCCGGAGCTCTTCGTTGTTCCAAGTGTTGTGAACACCTACAGAAAAATATTCGAACATAACACACTTTGTTTAGATTACACGGAAAATTATAAAATAATTCAAATAGTACGCGCGCTCTGATTGGCCATAAAACCATTTTACATGAGCGTATGTAAACACGGTTTTCGTTCCTCTTTCATTAGGTATTTTATAAAAGAAATGTAAAATGGTTTCCGTGTTTACATAGCCTGATGTAAACACTTGGGAGGTTGGGAGAACACTCAATAATCTAGTGTTCTCCCAACCTTCCGCGTGTTTACATCAGGCTATGTAAACACGGAAACCATTTTACATTTCTTCATTATAAAACGCTACTAAACGTTTTATAGCACTCACGCACAGACACTCTCTACTACTCCGTTCCCAAAATAACCATCGCCGCCGCCGCCACCGCCGCCCCCAACCCCCCCGTACCCCCTATCTCTTCCCGTATTCTCTGCCTTTCAGAGTCTTGTCGAAGGAATGGTCACATTCAACCTTCTCATATAATAATTCCACATAGCACAAAGGAAACAGATTATGGAGTTAAAAGCCGAGCTTTAATCAAGAACTCTACCTTTGCCGGTTCTTGATTTTATTTTTGTTTTTTGCTGCTTACATTATAGATAACCATTCCCGAGCTTAGTACCTCTTCCCCCAAACCTCCCCCCACCTCCCCTCCGGTTCTCACGCTCTTGCAAGTTCCTGGAACTGGAGCCCAGTTAAAGCAAGTCTGACTTCGATTAACGTAACATATCTCCACCAAAAGACAAATTCTCACAAGCTATCTTCTTGCTTTACGAAGGTATAGTAGGACAATCTAACAGTCGATACACTCACCTCTGACACTGTGGGGTGGATACCTATGGTTCTGTCGAAGTCTTTTTTCGTGGCTCCTAACTTAATGGCCACAGCATAGCCCTGCGTCACCTCTCCAGCGTTTGGACCAAGAACGTGGAAGCCGACGACGCGCTCCTGCACGAAAACAAAATGGAAAGTTAATGGATCCGTTAAACAAGAAACATTGTAAATGTCAGCGAAAGAAAGGACACATTCTGTTTCTGTGTATTAGCTAGTGAAAGTTAACTAATGAAAGAGAGGTAACTGCACACTGCAAACAGCAAAGCTAATCGAGGCGGTGTAGAGTTTATATATACAGACACAACATAAAATAACAAATATAAGAAAAGATATACATATCAGCTAAAAAAATTAATGCATAAGGAGAAGACAAAATCATTACATACAAAAGAAAGGAATTAAATAAGATCAATACTAAGAAAAGAGGGCGAATAGAGATAGTCCATCATAAAAAATATTAAGCTTTTAATGAAGAAAAATGTATCAGCATCAACCCCCTCGTGCACTAAAAACTGCAACACCGAAGGCGTTTCTTGAATGATGGCTTTGGTTTTGATTTCAAATATTCGGCGATTTTGTTCTCGATTCTTGCACCAGCCTTGAGAAGGATAGTTTTTGCAGTTTTGCCGGGACAAAGATAATTTCTGAGTGTTGTATGAGGAGTCAAGCCTCTGACCTTCGCATATCTCGCTCCGATTCTCACCACTGAGTTTAAGGGAACTCTATACTGAGCTAAGCCATAACTAGGTTCAAATGTTGGGGTATCTTTCTTCGATGGATCACATCAGATTTTTTACCAGAAAGAAAATCCATAGAAGCCGCTGAGCAAGTTTCAATTGAGTATCGAAAAGAAATCAGAAATTGCTTTGACTTTGCTTCTCTCTGTTATTGGTCCAGAACACTTACGCCACGTCCTCAACCAGTCGGATGCAAAAGTAAAATCATCGCTCGCGTTTTCCCGCGCTTTACCCAGTTTAGTTATTTCATAGCGGAGCTCGCAGAGCGTAGCCCCATAATTATATAAAATAGTAGTAACCCATCAAGCCGAAAAAATTTGGATGTACGACCGTACGACCGTACAAGGTACTACTTTTAACATGCGTGGTCAACTGTACCGCAGGCACTCTAACGCCACGGCTTTGTCCAGTAGTCCAGTGGTCAGTGCACTGGGCTCCGAGTCGGACGACCCGGGTTCTTGTCCTGGCCGGGGCAAGGCGTTGAGACGTGCGGGAAAAAAAAATGCGAGCTCCGCTTTTAGGCTTGGCTAAATCTATATATTATTGAGTTCTCAATGGCTCTTCAAGATATCTTCCTTCCTTCTGTCTGGACGTTGAGATTTCTTTAATTTTTTACAACACTTAATCTAAAGGCGTTGAAAATGACCATTCCATCTAAAACAATCTGGCAAAGTTTGATTCATTAAAATGATATTTTAGCCGAGAAAATGAAATTTTGAATTCAAACAAATTACATATGTCATTCTGGTTTAGGGTTTGAAGGCGTATTCCAGTCAAACCAAAGGGCTGTGGACGTAACCAATTTTAGATCGTCTTCTCTCCAATCGTTTTACCTTGGTTAACCGAGGCTAGGGTTGCCGTGTAATAACACTCTGTAAAGACCCCAATAACATGCAATACTTACATTATCACTTTTGTTGCAAACCAGCTTTGCATAGCAGCCGGACATGTCCCGTTTGGCGACCGTGTACTCGAGAGGTTGGTAGTTAGTATGGTACACTTCCACATTCTCTTCCCCAAAGCGGGCAACGGCGTCTTCTTCAGACAAACCAATGCAGCCATACTCCAATGGTGTAAATACTGTTGTAGCGACGTTTACATAATCACACTAAAACAGATAAACAAAGTTTAGTATTGAGTCTCACTGCTTCACTTCGTCCTGAGATTGGTCCAGAGAACACGCACCACTTTCTCAGCAACTGCGACTCAAAACTAAAAACAAATCATGCCTTGGTCCCCCACATTTACCTGCGCCTTAGGCAATTGGCTGGTTTTTATTTGAGTTCTTATTGGCTCCTTAAGACTAACTTGTAACTAGGAGAGCAGATTTGGAATCCAGTCTCTCAACACGTTGCAACACACGGGATCGAGACACACAAGCCTTAATTCTACTGTACTATAAACCAGGCTGCGAGTTTTACTTACCAATTCATTTTGGCCTCCGTATAACCGACGTGCAAGTAATCTACCGGCCTGAATCGCAACTGGAGTGAGTTCTAGTTTGCCATCCATGATATCTCCGACACCAAAAATATTTGGCACACTAGTTTGTTCATTGTCGCCAGCGATTACTTTCCCATTCCTAAAAGAGAAGAGACATTTCTTGTGAAGCATTCGTAGGTAATGTAGGTCAGAGCGAATCGTTATCTACGAGTGCTTCGTAGGAGCGGCTTTCGCTCTCACGAAGTGCTAGCGCTCGAAACGTCACTTTTGAAACTTTTTACGGTGGCCAATTTACGTCATCAAGACAGTTGATTATACTAAATTACCCTGTTACGCTCACCAACCGACGCAGCACCACAATTTCTTTAGAAACTTACCACCTTTTCCCCACTAAGTGTTCTCTTAAGCTCTCTGGTCGGGCACCAGAACTCGATAACAGTCAAAGCCTCTCTGGTTAGCGATCAGTGCAAAAGCTACGCTTTCGACAGGTCTGAGGTTGGAATCTTCGCGGAAGACTAAAACTTATTAGCTCTCTATTCCGCGTTCATTGCACCCCTTCGAAACTTTGGAGTGAACAGCATCTAATTTCTCCTTACAGTAACAATCCTGAGTTATTTATTGGGGACATAAGAATATGGGAAATTGTCGCCAGTCAAAGAAACTTTGATTGTTAAATCAATTCTCCTTGTTATTAACAAAGGGGAAGCATAGAGAAGAGTGAGGAGAATATCGATACTAACAGGGGGTGTATAGAGATAAATGAACGATATCTTTCTTCGTTCTTATTTTGCCTCAAAGTGAGAAATAAAACTTTCGTTACAACTCCCTCCGTTTCAACCCCGTCAATCCTCAATCCGAGGAGAAATTAGCAAATCGACAGTGGTTTAGCGTGGTCTGTACCATTATCGACAACAAGATTCGTCATCACAGTGGTCATGTTTGTGGACTCAAGAGGCTCAGCACTCATTCGACATCAAATAAAACGATTCTTTCAGTGCGTAATCACTGCGTGACACGTTAACGCGAGCAGCGTTGTCTGTACTCTTATCGACAACGGCAAATTGGCCAATCAGATTGCGACATTACTGCCAACTGTGGTCAAACAGTACATTGATACGGACTGACACTTACTTTGGGTTGAGTTTCACTCCGACATTCTCAAGACCAATTCCCTGTGTACATGGGTCTCTGCCAATCGCAAACATCACCTGATGTCAAAGCAAACAAAATATTTATATCGCGTTCATTGGTATTACAATGGTTTCCCTTCTATGGTTGGCCTAGAAACTCACGTAACCTTCTCAAACAATCAAAAGCAACACTAAAACAAGTCACGAGCTGTCCCTCACGTTTTCCCGCCCTCACGCAGCTGTTTTGTTTTCAGCACTTTGAGTTCTCATTGGCCCCTTGACAGTTACAGTTTCATCTGTTCTGATTGGCTGATGTGGCTTGGTCACTCACGTTTTCCCGCGCTTCAAGCACTTGATTTTAGCTCTTATTGGCTCCGTGCAATATATTTTCCTTCTAATGGCCATTGTGAATAAAGAGCAATTTTCAACTGAGTTTCGAAACTTTCCAAATCCGTGTTTGCACTGGTTTTTTTTAATTTTCTTTGTGACTGGTCCTGAAAACCCGCACCACTCCCTCAACCAATCTTATGCAAAACAAACACCAATCACGAATTGGTCGCCCGCGTTTTCCTGCGCTTTACTTGTTTCTACTTTGAGTTCTCATTGGCTCTTCAGGGTATTTTCCTTACTTCTAATTGGCTGTTGCGATTACTTTGGTTTTCCTTTTACGGTACTCATCAAACAGTGTTCTAACATAGTCACTTGAAAAGATCTCAGGTTTGTAATACAACTACCGTTTAAGGCATCAGCAAAAATCAAACGGCCAAACCAATAAAATACTTACAGTGTTGCACTCTACGGAGCCCTCCTCGCCACTGTCTAAATGTTTATAATAAACTCTTAGTTTTCTGGGTGTTCCTTCTTCTATAAGTTCAATCTGAGAAAAATCCACCAACAGGAGTGTCAAAAACCTATTCTTAATAGATGGCTGCCAATGGCAGAATACTCCGATGTCACCACCTTACCATGAAATTCAAAGAAATAGTCGGAATGAAAGTCTGATTGAACGCTGAATAGCGGCTTTAAATGAAATCCCGAGGGAATGTCCGCAAGCGGACGGACGGATACGTTCGAAATCGGACGGAAAGAAAGAAACATATTAAAAACAAACAAACAAACAACCATATGTATCTGAGGCAGGAATCCTGCAGTATCAAATCTGACCTTGTGAATTGCTCATTTAACTAATGGATTAGGAATGAAAACCACAACTACAACAACAGCAGCTGCTAGTTCTTCTTAAGTGATGCATACACATACCTTTGTAGGAATTGATGGTCTTTTAACCTTTATTCCATGGCTGATCATGTCATTACCAATTAACTCAGCCATTTGCTACAAAAATAAAATAAAAGCATCACATTAACACAAACCACACAAATCACGTATAATCTATTACAAGATGCTCATTAAATTTGGGTTTGATTCCACCGCAGCGGCAGTCAGACCGCCTCGCCACACGCAAGGTATAATATATATGCTATACAATTTAAGCGTGTATTTCACAAATATATGATGCAGTGCTGAAACGTCTAAAATAAGTTCCCTTCATTTCTCCACCCCTCGCGTTGCTTTGCCTGTTGCTCCATGTTGTTATTCCTTCTCCCGTTGTTTATCAAAGCGTCTTGAAATCTTAACAAAAGGTGACCAAATCCGCTTGAAGCCTTTCGCAGTTCTCCGTCAAGGAGAGCTTTTGAATCTCTTCTTAATGTGGAAAACGCGCTCTTGGGCCATTACAGCGCAATCTTTTGCGGATTAGCACAATCTCGATAACTGTGACCTTAGCACGGACCAAAAGCCACGTTGGATCGTAATGTTGGATTGCACGTAAACCTTCGAATATCAAAATACTAAGTGCTTAGTCTGACGCTTTAGGCTAAGTTGTTCAAAGCATGATTTGATACAATTCAGAACTTCCTACCAAGACAACCTATCGTTTTATAAGGCTAGAACCCTGGATATGAAATCGCGTGCTTCAAGGAGCTCAAACCATGCAGTTAACAACCTTAACACCTACGAAAACCGCATCACTGTCAGTATCTGAGCAACTGCCAACGAACTCCTCCCTTAACCCAACCATAGTCAACTGATAATAAGTTAGGGCTAATTCTGGTTTAGGGGAGGGGTAGGTGCGCAGTTCCATTAGATACTGACATTGATTCGGAAAAGCCTCACAATGAGACGAATTATTAAGGATCCACGGTTATTCTGAAGTGCAGTACCTGGTCAAAACCTCGTAAGAGAATTGATCGCACCAGAACAGTTACGTCAAGCTTGATCCCAGCTAAGAACCCGGCACATTCCAGAGCAACGTAAGATGCTCCGATTATTACAGTCTTGCCAGGACTGTTTTCTAACGAGAACAAATCATCACTGAAAATAAACAGACAATGCAAGATATCAATTATTTGGACTTAGAGAACGAAAGAGATGCATATTAGATGATGTAGTCCTATCGTCCGGGTGAAGTTGCTCCTTAAAGGGACAGTTGCAGGTAGTAGCCACCGACGTTTCGAAAACCCAAACGGAAGTCATCACTTAACTCTCATAATGACTAAAGAATAAAGGGGGTAAGTTTCTATGGAAACTGTTCTGCTGCGCCGGTGCGAGAGCATAACAGGGTAATTGGGTATTATCAACTGAGTTGATAACGTAAATTGACCACCGTAAAGAGTTTTAAAGCTGACGTTTCGAGCGTTAGCCCTTAGTCAGATTATTATCAACTCAGTTGATTATACCTCATTACTTTGGTAAAGACTGCTGCTGAGGTTGTTGAAAAATCCATCACTGTCGTTACCGACAACAGTCCTTCTCAGGACTAACCTCGTTCACGCGATTCGACTACATAATTAGCCTACAGAACTGAGCTACTACGACATGTTGGAAGCGAAGCAAATTCTAGCGGCTTTTTTTTCCGTAGAGGAATTTGATAAAAGTATGTAATGAAATAAATTTCAATTGACAAAACACTCTTTAAAAAATTATCAACATCCCCCATGTCCTGCTCCGAGTCATCAAAAAGCTTCAGATTATTATTTCCATAACAACTAACATCTCCCTTTTTCTTCTCCTCCTCTTATTTGACTCACTATCATTACCATTACTGTAATTCTCGCCATCAAAATCAACACCACCATCATTATCATCTAAGACATCATTTCCACTATCACAACACGTTAGACACACTCATGTACTACTTTACTACCTTGTGATGCCGTATTCTCTTGCTCCAGGGATGTCAGGGTACCTCGGACGTAGACCAGTAGCAAGAACAATATGTTGAGCTGTCATCTCCCCCTCTCTTCCTTTTTTATCGATGGTCTGGACAATGAAAAGAAAAAAAAGATACTGCTTAAAACTCAAAATAAATGTTTTACACTTGGTCGTAACCATTTCAATTAATAGAAGTGATTAATGTAACGTTGTTGGAAGGCCAGGCGACGGATTACAGATAGACGAAAACGGCGGAAAACACTCGATACGTGAACACAACTTTTAATCAACTAAAAACACGCTTTCATCCGGGTTACACTCTTATGTCAGCGGTGAATACTTCATGTAAAACAAACGAAATATCGTCACAATTAACATGTACATGTAACTTCTCCATCTAATATTCCTCAATTGTCCTGCAAACAGGTAATGAGAATACACAAACTTATCAGGCAGAAGTTGTCATCTTGATCTAACACCAAATTCTTGAAACTAATTTACAAGCGAATGTGTAGCCACTAGAGGGGAGAATTAACAATCATATCTTGGGAGTTTAAGGGTTAAAAGGCTATTCAATGGTTCATATAGGTTTTTGTTTTAGAAATTTTGTAGCAAGAGAGCAAATAAAAGTATAATGTTCTCCAAGTTTGTCGAAAATAAAAATTCAGGCCATCAAAATTCCAATGAACAGCCTGAATAAGTTGTACCAGGAACCCATCAATGGGAGTATCCATCTTCTCTGTTTCTTAGGGTTGACCCTTTCAAGAGTAGATTTATTTATAAATCGGCTTGTTCCAGCAAAAAGTGACATATTTTTGTTGAGTCAACTGCCCACCCCAAAAAACTGATCTTGCTGCCCAATGCATGTGAGCAGATGTTTGATGTAAAACAATAGGGTCATCATAGCTCTGTTTTGATTGGGCTTTAGAACTAAAAACTTCCCCTGAAAACCTCTCTATTAATAGATCAACACAGGGAAGAGTTGATTTCAAGGCTGATTATGAGAGATAGAGTTTCCTGGTTATACATTGTATGTAACCTTGATTTCAAGGTCTCTAATAACCTATCCTAACCTTTGGAACAAAAGAACTGGGAATAAAGATCACTTGAAACATGAAATGAGATTGAAGTGACGGAAAATATTGTTAGTACAAGGGATAAGATATAATAATGATGTATCATGACTGCAGAACAAGTCCTTACTTTGACAGTGTGAGCATCTTTAAGTTCGCCGATGGCATTTTTATATGTGACCTTTTTATCGCGGAGTTCCACTCTGTAACCCCAGTTAAGAGACCCAATGTGATTCTGAGTAGAAAAAAAAACAATAGTTACCAAAAGTTACATTATTCAATGTTAATGAAGCAAAATCACAACAAAACTTGCAAAGTTAAATAGGTAAATCATCGATATACCTGAACGTTTTCTCTCATTGCAGCCCAGTTGTGATTAACTGAAAAAAAGTGAAAAAAAAAAAAAGTTTAAAATTAAGTTGTAGTTCTGATGCCAACTAAAACAGACAAAAAAAAGGACGAGTGGAGAGAGTTCCAACCTTAGGCCAAAGAAAAAATTCATAACGGAAGAAACGTTTATGGGAAATCTCTAACTCTTTCTCTTCCACAAGTAACCAAAAAGGGACTCCTCTTACAGTATCAAAATATTTTCCAGAAGAATGATAAAAGAGAAATTGCTACCTAAGGGATATTATTTGATTGAATACTAAACCCTTTGACTCCAAAGAGTGATGAGCATCTAGTTTCTCCTTACAATATCACCCTTGAATCAAACATTTAGGTCACAAGAATAAAAGAAATAATCAACAATTATTAAACAAATTCTCCTTGTCAGCATCTTAGGAAATGTATAGAGAACAGTATGGAGAATATGCAAACTCATCTGAGGGTACAGAGGTATAATGGTTCATTCTCAGGGCTACATGTACATGTAAAAAATTATGAGAAATTTACGGATGGATTTAAAGGAGACTGTGAAAAATCTGCAAGTATATTGAGATCTTGGGAGTGCAATGATCATTACTTCAGATGACCGAGACTGATTTATATGGTAACTATAAATGCAAAGGTACCCACAAACAGAAAAAAAGCAAACAAAATTGCCATCCACTCAGCACAACCAGAGTATTTCTCTGACAAAGAGCTTACACTCAAAATGTCAATTTTGAAACTCTTAATGGTGGTCAATTTATGTTATCAACTCAGTTGACAATACTAAATTACCCTATTTATGTAGTTACCTGTTGTATCAAAACTCCATCCATATTGTCTTGCATCTTCTAAGTCATGTCCTATGAGAGATTAAAGAGAAGCACAAATTGTTCAATGTATACCTGATGTGACCAAATAACCTTTACAATACTATTAGTGTACACCTGTAGAGAGAAGGGGCGTGAGAGGTGCATATGCACCCTCTCCACAAGTGGTGAAGGTTCGCTTTCAAGACACTGGCAATTTAAAAGAAAGAAAATGGTACATTATTTGACCAGAAGCATTCAATAAGTTTTGGGCTTGGCACACTAATCAAAGATTATGTCCTAAATCTTTTTTTATTCAGAAATTTGTATCAAAATTTTCCAGGGGATCATGCCTCTGACCCTCCAGAATCTTGAACCCTGTCACTTGTCTATTCTGCACCTTTGGTCCTCAAATGCACCCACCTGTGGTGCATTTTCAATCTAAAAACTTGTTCCAATACATTGCCTTTAGCAATCACACAAATCATCTGAGAAAAAAACACACCTAAAATAGCAGCCTGATGCATGAGTTTTTTTGGGATACAACCAACATTCACACAGGTGCCTCCAAGACCTACAAAAATTACATCAAATCTATTAAACAAAAACTGAATTGTTCTTTAACAATTAATTTTACATCCTACGAGTGACCATCATCTATTTTCCCCTTTGAGTAATACTGCTTAATCATTCATCAAGACCATGATATTGAAGGAAATGATTGCCAGCCAAACAAGCTTTGATCGCTAAACAAATACTCCTTGTCAGTAACAAAGGAAATGTGGGGGGGTGTGGGTGTGGGAAGGGTTAACTGCTTTGATTGCTAAACAAATTCTCCTTGTCAGTACCAAAGGAAATGAATAGAGAAGGGTATAGAGAATAAAGAAACTGATATTAGGGAGGGGTGTGGGGGGGGGGTTGAAGGGTTAACTGTTCGATCACTGAACAAATACTCCTTATCAGTACCAAAGGAAATGTATAGAGAATGAAAAAAATGCATAATTAACTTTTTGAACCCTATACATTTCCTTTGATACTTACAGGGAGAATTTGTTTAACAATCAAAGCATCTTAGGTTGGGGATCATTTCCTGTATTCTCATGATCTTGGTGAATGACTCAGTGGTAATACAGTAATAAGAAATTAGAAATTGGTCAATCTTAACGCTTTGACTCCCAGAAGTGATTAACATCTAACTTCTCCCTAAAGTATGCATACATTATCTAGCAATCAAGTAATAGGAATATTGAAACCTATCAGGTAGAAGTTTACATCTTGATCTAACACCCTATTCTTCTCACAAATTCACAAGGAAATGTGTAACAATTAAATGGGAGAATTGACAATCATATCAAACATGTAAATGTTAGCAGTTTCACTCAATAAGGCCACTAAAAAGAATTTTCCCTTACAAATATCACACAGTTTCAAGCAGACAGGTGAAAAGAAGAAAGGAAAAAATCAAAAAGGAAAATTCTTTGATTAATTGATAAATTCCCAAGGATAAAAAGTTTAGCTAATATATGGCAGACAGTGAGGAGAATTGATATTTAGATCTTAGGAGTAGGAGGAATAAATGGAAACTCACCCCAAGTAGTGCCAATTGGTGATGGTTTGACAAAATCCAGAACTGCAACTTTTTTCCCAATGATTGCTGCTTCCTATTTAAAATATAAAAAAAAGAAAAGCCATTGATTACTTCTGGTCTTACAAGATTGAGTTTTCACAAGCTTTCCCTCCAAAAATGATGTACAAAATGGGACCACACCATCTAAAGGTGTGCATTTGACTATTCAAGAATTTTGCTGCATGATTTTTCAGAGCTGGAAATGATTTCCAATCCAGACTCCATCATGATCTTCCTAAGGCCTGGTTCACACTTGTGATATACTGGTGTAAAGAAAGATCTGTTCTTTCTGTGTGTCATTTCATGCATTATCTCCATGTTGATATGTTGTTGTCATGTATTTGGGTCCACATTTTAACATTATAAACATAATGACAGAAGAAACTTCTTTTTGTCTTTATGTGGTTATGGCTGCCGTGAAATAATATGTTCATGTCATTGTCACTAAGTCTGTATGTTTACTCCACAAACATAACCGCATTATGATAGTTACTGCCATCTATGTCACTAGCCTTGTGTGAATATGAACTCTCAGAGCCTCTAATATAATTCATAAAATGAGAGATATACTACAAGCACCCTTATTGGTTAAAAAACCTATCATTTCCACATGGGGACTCAGAATTTTTTCTTTGCCACATGCATATGACAAGACAAAAAACATCTTTCGCTAACATTTGAAAAGTTTGTTAATCTCTTGCCTCTACTTTGTAAAATGATAGAAACTGAAAGAAGGTGCAGTCTATTGCTTAAATATACATAATAATTAGATCTTCAGTGTGCAATTTATGAGTCAAGGTGAACATCTCTTAACAGTGCTGATACCCTGTAGACAGTACCTTGGAACATGCAAGACCACCTGAACCTCCACCAATAACAATTAGATCATATGTGTAGTTTTCTGATGGAGGCATTATCAACCCCATTAGCTTTCCATCTGTATGAAGCTTCATCGTAGCATCTGCACCTCCAATGTGTTTCCCACGAATGAACACATTTGGAACTGTTCTTTGTTCTGTCATCTCTTTCAGTTTGTCCTGTATCGTTGATCCATTGTCTGAAGAAAAAAAAAACAGAAAAACAAGACAACTTAAAAAGTTAGCAACTATTCAGAATGATGAAGTACAAAGGTTAAAAACAAAATCATTTTTCTAACAGTCTGCCCTTAGTTGTTTGAAGAGTGAATAAAGCTGTCCACTGGATAAATCTCCATCCCATGGAGAGCACAGTTGTTTCCTTGACAGTTATCCACTGGATAGCAATTTTTTTCAGTTGGTTAGCATTAAGCACCCTTTAAACAACTGGACCATCTAGGAAGTAACCACAAACGTACATCTTTTGCCTGCATACATAGAAGCATAATGCCTCTTGGTGCAATAGGAGGTCAGTTAATTATTTGACCACTAGGAGTGAATAACATCTTATTTCCCCTTATGACATCACCACCAAATCACAGATTAGAGGTCACAAGACTAAGGAAAATTATCACCACCTAAAAAAAGCTCTTAGTTATCAACCCTTTAACTCCCGTGATCTCATTAGCAATTCTCCTTACTGTCTCCCATACATTTCTTGTGATGTTCGTTTGGAGAATTTGGTATTAGATCAACTTATAATCCTCTAACTGATATTTTTCTTTATTCTCATCACTTGTCTGCTTGATATTGTATTGATATTGTAAGGAGAAATTCTGTCTTGATCACTCACAGGAGTTAAAGGGTTAAACAAAGTTCTCCTTTTCAGCACCTGAGGAAATGTACAGAGAATGGAGAAGCTGGTCACTTTTACAAGTTTAAGGGATAATACTGAGCCTTTGAGAACATCAATGAAGAAAAGTTATAAAAATACTTATCCAATTTTCTTGTTTAATCAACTTTCTAGTGTTATTGATATTACCTAGTAAGTCTATCTCCAGAGCATAAAATGTCACATTCAATGACTTGAAAAGCTCTTTCACCTGTAGGAGAGTGGTAAACAGATTAATAGCTGAAATGAAAATAATATGAAAAGTTCCTCATTTGATCAAGTATTGTTTAACATTATGAGCAAGGCTCAAAAACATTATTTGGGCTTGTGCTCATCAAGATATTGAGTCAAACCTATTTTTGCTGAGATACAATCCATTTTTAGCAGAAAAAAATAAGCATTATGTCATATATCAATAACCTCTCATCCTCCTTTTAAAAGAAGGTTAGAATATTTTCACAATGCTTTTATTGTACATGCAGCATCAAACTGAATACATGAAAAGTAATATAGCTGTATTTAAAACCTGAACTTAGCTTCTTAACATTCGTAAACAAACAGACAATTTGTTCAGCCATCCAAGAAGTTGACCAGACAAAAAGCTATATTTCAACAGACATTGTCCTTAGACCAGCCTTTATTTCTAGCCCTGAGAAAAATAAACATCCCTAAAATATTTGCTTTTATTTATTGTTTTTGATCATACATGGCCCCTAAATGTGCAGCAAATTTCAGAATTTCATATTTTAGTATTTGACAGCTGTTTTCAAATATACCCTTTTTTTAATTAAGAAACCAAAGATTCAGCCTTTCTTTGCAACACATAATTAATCTAAATGATAATTAATGAATTTTTTTCTTGTGTTTTTGTGGCAGTGACTCATTTAATGATCCTAGCAGAAGAAAAGCCATCGAAATGAAGTCATTAAGAATATTGAAAGGACGTTGAATCTGCATACAAAAAACTTCCTAACTCTGGATGATTAATTAATAACATCGTGTACTGATTAGCTACTTTTTTGTCGCTGTTTACTCTCTGAAAAGTAAAGTTTATCAAATATTTGTCGCTGTTTACGCTCTGAAAAGTAAAGTTTTTCAAATAATGTCCACAGATCTGGTACATGACAAGATGTCAGCGACTCATTAACAATCGTATTCATTTTTAATAATACATTATTTCAAAAGAAAACTTTGGGGAAGACAAGATGATAGCGTAATTGTTTTGGTTAGGGAGAAGGCAACATTATGAAATGAACACACCTAAGTCCCTTCTTCAATGCCACAGATTTTCATTTTTACAAAGTAAATAACCCTTCTTTTTAGACGAAACACGCAAAACTAAATTTTCCAATAAATGTACTAAATAGCGCCTTGTGGCAAAAACTTTTTCTTTTCGTTCCGTGACTGCGTATTCAAATTCCAAGTATGTACGGCAGCGTTTTTTCTTTTCATTATTAAAGGTTTGATTCTGTCATCGAAAGGATCACTTAGTTCATAAAGGAGATCGAAATCTAGATGACCGCATTTAAGCATTGTTTATGCTCGGCAATAACGAGTACCGATCTCCTAAGAGAATAGGAGTACAGTTCTTGTGATCCGTAAAAGCCGAAGAGATTTCAACGGTCAGATCCCGTTAATTCCTGAATATTCAGGAAAGCATTAATTTAAACAGGCGTCAAGCTTGTTATGTTGATGATTATTAGACCTTAAAATCGTTGTCTTGAACGAATCTTAGTTGAATATTTTTTTACAGATACGCAAGTGTATTACGCAACTTTCTCCTCTGGGATCTGCGATGAAAAGATCTAGCTTCTAATCAACGAAAGTGGAGCTGTTAGCTTAAAACACATATATCGCCAGAAAGCAAGTAGATTTTGTTCTGTATATTTATTTACAAAAGTGAATATGCGCGGGGAGTGATTTTTCACACGGAAGAATACTCAAGACGAGAGCTAAATTTATCAACGTCCCAAGGTAAAAAAAAAAAAAAAAGTGTTTAGTTCGATCGTGATTTTCCTTTCGGTTTCTCAAAAGGAAAGAAAAAGAAACACGCTTACCTTTTTACAAAATGGGCAAGTCGACTTGGAGAACACCATTACATTGTTGTCTTTGATGTTCTGTTCGATCAAGTCTTTTACGGGAGCCATCTTGTTGGGGACTTCAGGCGAAGGCGTCCTCGCCCGCTTGAGACTCGACACTACGAAACCAATGGTGGAAAAATATTATAATGCTGGCGATCAAAATATTTGCAGTTATATGATAAGGGATTATGGCAAGAACGTGACATTGCAGCTTCCTAAAGGGGCAGTACCGCGAAAACGGCCGCCATATTTAAGTCTAGGTTACGTCACGTGCTGAACAGTAAGCATTTTTCCCGTTTAGCCCTTCCTTTGTTTACACTTAGATTGAATTAAAAAAAGGTTCTGCTGACCGGTTCGCAACGTCTAGTTGGAGCAACTTACCCGCAATACCTTCCAAATTACCAATTCGCCGGCTGACTCACCGAAAGAGAATGACAAAGACTTTCTTTCGAGATGCAACATGTGACCAATTTCGAAATTTACATGACGTCACGCTTGAGATCTTTCCGCGCGCAAGGCAAAGTAAACTTCTCTATTTCAAGCCATTACAATATCCCTATCGAACCATTGATCACAAAATTAAATTTGCGCACAAGTTGTAAAAGTCAACTCAAAATTCCTTTTATTCACCTAAAATGATCAGATCTTTAACCAAATGATCAGATCGCCTTAAACAAGTTAGTTAATTGTAAGAAATGTTGAAAAGAAAAAAACAAAACAACGAGTCACGGCATGAAGACGTTTTCAAATTGACGCGGAGTCTTAGCTGATCATTTCCAGAATATCTTACGTACAAAACAGGAATGAATTCGTAATTATTCGCTGGTTCGTGACCTCACGTCCTCTACTCAGGAATCTCAAGAACCAACTGAGAAACATCACGAATAATCTCTCGTTCGCGAACGTTCACTTATCGATTCTGGATGTTTTGCAAATCTAATGCACGTTGGGGCATATGTTCAAGTTACCTGCATGAAACTTAATGGAAAAGATAGTTTTAGGGGCTTTTTGGGCAATGTAATTAAGTCATGATCTCAGCGTATATGACATCCAATTAGTTTTATCCAAGAATACTAAATTAGTTTCGTCAATTTAAGCAATGCAAGTTGTACGTGTTTGATGTTCCGTTGATCTTACGCTTAATATTATCGTAATTACCACCGGAATTTTATTTACCTTCGGCTCCTAGCATGAGATCTGTGTCCATCATTTCATCTGAAAAAGGCGTCTTTTCTAGACCAGAATAACCGTTATTCTTTGAACTGTCTTTTGACTGAGTCGATAGACACGAGTCTTATATTTCCCCATCTCAGCACGACTGCTTTTGTGAGATTAGTCTCGTCACGCTGATTTGACGGTATTTGTCACGAAAACATGACCATGCACAAAGTCATGACGTGGGGGTTGTCGCGTCGGACTGCTCGAGAAGGAAATAAGAAAGTTCTCCGAATACAAGTCTGCTACAGAAAAACTCTTGGTAAAAGATCAGAAGAAAATGAGCCAGAAATTTAATACTTGAGTTTAATCACTACTAATGTATTGTTACCTTCTACCACTAGATTCGCTGACACGTGCGACGTACTTTTCTTGAGTCTAAATTCAGTGTATGTAGGAGTCCGTGTAATGGCTCCTGGTGTTTGCCCGTTTCATCTCAGTCTTTTATCATTAAAATCCCATTTCATCGTGCATCGAGCTCTGTTAAATAGAAGTATCTCCCGTGAGGAGCAACTCTGAATTCTAACTACCAGTAGTATATAGAAGGAAGTTCGGACTATGACAGCGATTTCGATTCAAGCGTCTTATTACACAATACACTTTTATTTTAAAGCCTTTATTTTTGTCTGTTTCAAATATTGAGGGTTTTTCAGAGGAATAATTGAGCCAGAGACAAGCCTGTTTTCAAGTCTTTTTGATCCTTAGTGAAATAAGCATCAAAGCTTTGTTTCTCATTTTGCCGTCCCTCAAAAAGAAATAGGCGCCCTGTCCCCATGCTAAGCGCCCATTTCGAATGAGCCCCCTCCCCTGAGGTACTAAAAGTAAATAAGCGCCTCGAATGATAACTGTAATAGGCATTAAACCATGACGCTGTACCAGACAACTAGACTAAACTGTTTGAAGATAAAATTCGTATCCCCAAGCGGCCATATAATGTTCTGTTTATTTTATAGCTACTGATGAAATTCCCACATAAAAGACAACTTTTTTTTATTTATTTTCAATGAATTTTTCAACATCACTTTCCGAGACTTCGGCAAATCTTTCTGAATGTTCTTCATGCTCGGAAGAAGTATTGATGTGAAAATTTGGCAGCTCATCGAGAAAGTCACCGGTAACTGTACCGTCTTCACACCTCGAAGCCATTTTGTGAATGAAATTTCAAAAGAACCGGCCGCGCGCCTGAGCGTGAAGCTCTCTTGTTATTGGCTAATCATGTTAATAACCATGGCGACACCAGTAGCCTCACATGTGAAAGATAAAAATAGTATCTTCAGTATCTTCCCTGCGCGCGATGAAGATATGATTTTTTAGTAAAAGGAAAAATTCTGGTATTTCATCAGTATCTATATAATAAAAAAGTTTTATTGAATAGAAGTTTTCGGTATGTAAATTTTGGACCATGACCATGTGTGTTTTTTGCTTTTGTTTTTTAACTGAAGTCGGTTCTAGGCGTAAAGCAGGGGTAATGGGCTCCTGCGTTAGCAAAACAAAGCAAGCGACAGTAAAAAGAGGAAAAGAAGCAGAGGAGCGAAAAAACGAGGGAGGCCTGGATCGGGTCGCGTACCCGGCTCGACCCAGCCCTCCCTGGTTTTTTCTTTCTACTGTTCGCTATTTCACTCCGTTAACCCTTTAACTCCTAAGAGTGATTAGCATCTAATTTCTCCTTACAATGCCTCCCCTGAATCACGCACTAAGGTCATGAGAATAATGGAAATGATCAAAATCTACAGAAGCTCTGGACCTTTAAGCTAATTCTCCTTGTCAGCACTTAATGAAATGTCTAGAGAACAGTATGGAGAATATAAACACTGATCTTAGGGTGTCAGAGTCATAATCTGCTCTGGGAAAAACATTATCGTTTTGGGAAAGACCTTTTTGTACTGGGATTGGTATTATTTTACTGGACTAATTATTTTGGTATACGCCACAAAGGAACCAAAAAAATCAGTTTATTTCTGTCAATATACCATAAAACGGTCGGAAATAAATTGTCGACGCGCGATTTTGTCCCTTCGGCTGCCGAGGGGGGTGAGTAGTTCCTACTTGACAAGAGATTATAATTTCTTGTGCTTGCTGATACTTTCCGTGCCAGCCCATCTGTGAGTGCGAAAAGTATTATTCACCTTTGTGGTACGTTTTAAATATTTTTGTGTAATGAAATTAACCGATTTTTGAGCAGAAATAGCAACTTTTTGATCTGATTACGTATTTTGTATTGCGTAGATTTGACAACATTTTTCACAAAAATTCCTCTGAAAAAGTATCAGTTGATGATCGATCTTTCCTCTCTTTGTTGCGGAAGGAAATCAAATTGTAGCTCTTATCTAAGTGGAATCCGGATTCATAGCAACGCAAGATAAACTAAGTAGCCACTGTCACTTATACGACGCGTAGTTTTAATAGGAAGATCAAATGGAAATCGATTCCTTTAATTTAAGTAGAACAAATCTTTACAGATCTCAACCGGCGATTTCTCATTATTAGGAGAATAACAAAAGATGTCAGGAAGTAGGTTCTCGAGAAAAAAATCTACATCGGGATGGGAATTATTTTTAAAATTTTTTTTTTTTTGATAGATACCTGTATATTGGAGTAAACAATAATGCTAAAATGGATATATTTTTGTTGGAATAAATATTTCTGTACTGGGCCACTGCATAGGACTGATGTAGATGAGATAAGCTTCTGTTAGTTGTTTAGTTTGAAAAGAGGTGGTATAGCAGGAGGAGGCTTGGGACGGGTCGTATAGACAACTCGACCCAAGCTTCCCTCCTATTTAGCCATAGTAGGACATGGTTTACAAGAAAGTCTCAATTGGGTTAACCGCTAGCCGTAAAACGGCCAAAAAACTTAGCTGTTAGGCGTAAAAATTGTCATATTTTGACCTTTGGTCGTAAGAAAAGATGACAGTAAAATATTTTTGGTTTAATCATCAAAGGAAGGATGTTAACCGTTAACCGTTAAATGACCAAAATTTTAACCGTTAGCCGTAAAAAACCATCACCCATTTGAGACCCTCATACAACTTACATCTGGGGCCGGTAAAATCTCAGTCTAACATATGGGTGGAAGCTGTAGAAAATCTCTTTCGTTTTTCTAATTTCAAATTACAAAATTTCTCTTCCTCTCCCCTATTTATATTTTTTTTCGTCTTCACGCGCGGAACGCACGTGATTTCACACATTAGCCAATTACGTCACAGAACTCAACCTGACATTGGAAACTGACGTGGACATTTTTCGCGTACTTTTGCTGTTTGTTTTTCACCGAGTTTAGCTAGTTGTTTTGAAGCTTTCGTTTGCACAAATTTGTTACCGCTTTTTTTGGAATTATAAGAAGGTTTGGAATTTTTTCTTTTAGTCAAATGTTGAGGTTCAATTCTCAAGTTTATAACAAATTTTTTTAAGGAGTTTGGACTCGCCCTTTTTTGTAATTTATTTTTTACAATAATGTTTAATCAACCATTCTCTTTCATTTCCTGACATCTTTATTTCTCGAATTTCAAAGCTATTAATCGAACGATCTTGAACGAAAACGGGTTCCTCTGACAGACTTCAAGAAGATGCACAAAAAAATCATGCGAGAAATAAATCTAACAGTTTTTAAAGATATGTCCATGCTCCGTTCCACTGTAGGCATCATTTTCTATGGAACACCTTTATGTTCCAGCGACCTATCTTTTGCTGCGCGTGCAGGTCCCTCGGGAGTTCCAAACCGATTGATGTCGAACTTGCCATTTTTAGCTGGCGAAATGAGCACAGTATCACAGGATGCCATCGAAGGATCTTCGTCGAAGAAGTTGTACGGTCGGAGGTAGAAGCTGGCAAAGTTAGCGGCCGTCGTCCCGGATGTCGATACGGTACCCTCGATTCACGCCCATGTTGTTAACATTCCCTTCGTTAAAGAAGTTCAGATACTTAGGCTGGTCAAAACTGAACCGATAAATAGCTTCTTGTTCAGTTTTTTTCAAAGTGCGATTCAGGACTTTTTAGATTATTCGCGTCCCTGGTATCCAAGGATTTGTAATATTCTCAATATTAAAGTTAAAATTTTCAAAAGAGTTTTTTCTTCCACCGAGATCCAAATCCACTTTGTAGTGAAGCATGTGGCCGTTAATCGTCCCTGCGAGGCCTTTATGTATCTTTGTGCCATAGGGGCTCTCGTAAGATGTCCAAAAAGTGGCTTGAACGTAACCACTAGTGGAAACGCGGGCTTGTATAACCCCGTTTGGATTAAACATATAGTCGTTAATGTAGTCGTAGTTAAATATAGTTGAAATTGTTCGCAGAATCAGAACGTTTTCCAGCATTCCACCATAAAAATTAAAGCCATCTCCGTTGTCAATATGCCTGCCTAATGGAATGCCAAGGTCAAGTTCAAAAAGGCACAATGCCCCTTGAGACCTAACCGGATCATTGCTGTTAACGAAATGAACAGCGTCCATGAAAGTGGCCGTGATTGGGCTATCAATGCCCGGGACGAGCTCAAACTTGCTGCTTCCCATGCCAAACGCGGTATCGAGGTAGTTCGAAGACATTTGCATGGGTGTCCAACCTGAGTAAAAAGCCGCAGCCTCCTGAAAACTGAGTTCGTACACAATCCTTTGCCCATAGAAGCTTATATCAAACAGTTGTACGCCGGTAGAACTGCGCAGGCGAAAATCAAAACTCCAGTTCATGTATTCTACATGACGTCCGCTGACCGTATATTTCTTTCCATCTGGCTCAACCAATTGAAGGGGGCGCAAAGGCTTTGAGGGATGCGAGCCCCGCGGCGCAGATACGACGAAAAAAGGAGCTTTTCAGGTGAGTATGAAGGCGCGGGAATGAAAACCTTATTCACAGAGTCATTTCTGTAAGCTACCATTAATTCTTCTACACTGTCAAATGAAGAATTAAGATAAACCACCTTTTCGACTTTCCATCTCGACACATCACTTCCTCTAGTATCAACATATAAACTAAGGCCAACAGGATGTAAATAATTTCCTGGGAGATCGCGCTTGAAAAAGAACCATTTCTTGCGCAAACCAAATTCACCCAGGCTGCTATAATCCCAGGTCAAACAGCGATCCGTACAATTGTCGTAGGTATACCCATCAAAGCTTTCGTAGAACAAATCCCGTAGCTGTTCTGACATTTTTAAAATGAAACTCTCCGTTGCGTCGAGTTCTTTCGAGTCCTCCGGGTGTGCTTCATAGGGTATTGGATATTTGTGCCCAGGTCCTGTGGTTTCCTTGTAAAGGGAACTCTTGGCAGCGGGGGACACCAAATATTCTCTAACTTCGGGGCTTAGTTTTCCTCCGAAAAAGACAACAACACGAGCAACCCGTTCTGGTTTAAGGCCATTGTTGTCAAGGAATTTAATAGCCTCGTCTTTGTTTGGTTGCTGTAACTCGACCAGGTAGATGTGATTGTCGTTGATGTTTGCATCTTTGAAGGGAGTTATATTCAGAGACTTTTGGCTGAGTATAAAATCCCTCTCAGAAATAATTTCCTTTTCAGAGAGATCGTCGTAAAATTTGAGGCCACAATCGTTTGAACTGTCTTTGGCTCGCTTCGACGTTAATATCACAATTAGCGTAATAATAGGTGCCCCACATAAGTGACGGAGAGAATAACAAAAATGATCTTCAATATGGTGACTTGTCGAGTAGAATTGGCTAAGCGACTGTAAGAATCAGCCATGTTTCATTTGTAGCAATATTCGCAGACATGCACCAACAGAACAACGTAAATAGCAAATTATAGTTTGAAAACATTTAGCTCTGACTCCCAGGAGACCAATGGAATACGATAGAGCCCCATTGACTCGAGGTCTTGATGAGAAATAATTAGGGAAGTTTAGTTTGGGAATTTTAGACTTGCAGACTCAATCGTCAAATAAAATACCATTTTTCTAGCAGCCGTAGCAGAGAGTAGAGATGACGACGCCTGACCAATTTGCCGACTAGCTCAGCATCGCTGGTTGCGATGCTTTTAAAACTATTGTTTTTTTTATTTTATTTCATCAAACACCTTTCCAGCAAGCTCTCTTAAGGTGAGTTTTACAAGAAGCAAGTATGCCCACTGCTGTAAACGCTTCTCTCTTAATTTTGTTGTCTTTATTACTGCGCTATTGCCGATCTCTCCTAAAGCGAGATGGAAACTTCGTTTTTAGTTCTATTAGGGTTGTTGTCAGCTCATTTGAGATTTCTTGAAATTCTTCTTGTGGTGCCCTGATTCGTTCTTTAGCTTCATGAAAATATACCAACTTGTCAATTGCAAAGTGTTTTGGTCTTCTCTGTAAAGGAATTTTCGCTCGCTGTCGATGAATAACAACGAAGCTGCTACGAAAATCCAGGTGTCATCTACAGTGGCCAAGCAGGACTCACACTTGACAAAGTCATCGTTTCTCTTGCAACCATCCACGCCTGCCGCCTAATTTTGTAGTATTTTGACCTGCTCCTTACTTCACGTTTCTCAGAATATCGTTTTGCTTATCTGACAGATCTTTTATTTCGTGTTCCACTGCCTCCACATTTTCTGTTGTTCAAGGAGATACCATTTGAATCCACCATCTTTACTGCAAAAAACAGATTCGTATTCTGCTTAACAGGAAGTAGAGGGGGGGGAGGGGAGGGAGGGTGGGTGGCGTGTGAATGAGTTGTGATAACAAAGAAACACTTTGGTTTCTTATTAATTTCCTTTATTCCAAAAATCATTAACGTACATGGCTCAGCGTAAAATCTAATACAACCATTGTGAAAACAAATTAGTTTAATTGGTTGACTAAAAAAGAATGTTTTTTTTTAACTTATTTTAATTTTCATTATTTTCAATTTCTAAAATACTTTTATAAGAAGTGCTCGTTCAAGCGGTTAAGAAATAAATCCAACTACTAAAAGGAATTATTTTAGACTTAAGATAAGCTTACAGTTAATTCAAATGCCTCGCCGATCCAAAAACTTATTAAACTTGTTAATAAGCTGGAATAAAATGATGAAGAAGGAAACCTCTTTAACAGTTGAAAAAGAAACAAATGGACATGAAAACTAACAACAGCGCCTGCATTACACCAGGTTTCATGCCAGCGGCTGCATTAATGCCAGCGGGTCCACTGATGTCTTTCACGCCATAGCACTGATCATTTCCGGTCGCCCCAGGGTCCCGATTGTTTGCGCAGAAAGGATTGTAATCAGTGAAGCCTAAGTCCAACACTTCTCGGTCAGTATAGGAAATAGTGCAGTCAGAATGGATCAGATTCTTCAGACACTTCTTCATCTTGGCTTCCTCCCTGAAAGAATGATATTTAACAAAATCATTCTACGTATGTCTGTTTCCCTCATTGTGCAGTTTTGGATCTGAGACTACATTGATTTCGATCTATTTTTATACAAAGCTAAGCCAACTCTGATCGGTAAAACTCGCGTCACTCTCTTAACGTGGCTTGCTCATTGGCGTTTTCTTGCGTTTTAGACAGTTTACTGGGTCTACATAAAGAGCCTTCTTAATCTGTCGGTTAATTCTATTACTACTAGCAATGATCATAATATTTCTGTTTATATTTATTGTTCTTGTAATACTCAGCCAAGGAGCAATTTTATTTGTCCTTATTCTCTTCCAAATTTTTTGGATTTTATTTTCATAATTATTTTTTATTTCGCGGAGCTTTAAAATTATGGTGGATTTAAATGTCTTCTAACGATCCGTTAATTCAAGGCTTTTTTAACATAGCCGGATAAAAAAAAGGGAACTGGGAATAATGGTTTGAGTCTTGTCTTAGGAAAATTTTCTACATTTTTACGCCTGTTCCCAAATTTAATGTTATTTCTCAATTTGTCGGGGGGAACATTCTCAAGACAAGAATGTAAAATTGTTCTTTGTTCCACAACCGCGCCCTAATAAATCATCTCCATCAATTTATCAGTGTTTAACAAACAAATGCAAATACATTTTGAGTAAACCCACGGCATCATGAGTCCTTTTTAATTTGTTTTAAATCACAAAGAAGCATAGTTGATAACGTTGACATCATCTATGCCTTTACATCATAAGTAGCAACCAATCAGAATGCGTGTATGATTAAGCTTATTGTATAAAAACAAATAGTCTACACAAACTCACGTGCAAAGAGAGGAACTCGATTTGTCCGCGACGAATATTTGCCGGAAGGTCCTTGTACATGCGTTTGCTTCAGTGACGAAAGAGCTGGAACAAGGCAATGATGCCGCTGACGAGGGCGGTATTAGAGCGCGGCCTTCAGAACATTCTTTGCTCTTTAAATCTTTGTCTACAATTCTTCTGATGGTGCTGTCTGTCAGCGAGTCATCACAATACTTCACCACCTTCACCACACAGTCTTTCATTTGGTTGAACTTAGCACTGGAATGAAAACAAGATGGCCACGAAGTTAAAGCATTTTTTAGGTGTGAGTCTATTGTAATCAATGAACAGAACAGGCGACTTGACAGATACCGCAGTAATGCGTTACAGTTGGATGAGTCGTCGTTCAAAACACCTCAAAGTTTAATGAACTTACGAACAGTCTCCTTTGGGGTCCTTTTGCAGTCCTTTATAGAAAAATGTGGCGCATTTTCGAGCAGCGCAAAAGTACTCCATGAAAGTACATTGTCCAATACTAGGTAATGCCTCATGGCTTCCAACGAGAAACGCTGTAAGAGCAATGATTGACAGAAATCAATAAACCAGTGAGCCGTTTGTTATGAGAGTGATTTTTATGAATGTAAAGTAAGTAAAGATTTTAGATATATGAAAATTCACATATTTACACTGCGGTGGAGAGATGAAATTATAAGATCCTCGCAGCTAAGAACACTACTGAAACGAGTAGTTGTAAATAGGACCTGAAAAAAATTCAGGCCCGTACGGGATTTGAACCCATGACCTCTGCGATACCGGTGCAGCGCTCTACCAATTGAGCTAACAAGCCAACTGGGAGCTGGTAAATGAATTGGGTACAAATGAACATCCAAGTGAATGAAGATTTTTAGATATATGAAAATTCACATATTTGCACTGCGGTGGAGAGATGAAATTATAAGATCCTCGCAGCTCGGTTCAAATCCCGTACGGGCCTGAATTTTTTTCAGGTCCTATTTACAACTACTCGTTTCAGTAGTGTTCTTAGCTGCGCACAAGTTTCACTTTCGGACCGGAAACTAACGGTCGTGCGGCATAAAATCTCTCAGACCAAATATACTGTCTCGCGTTCTTTTCACCAGCAGTTCCTTTGTCATCCTGTAAGACTTCATATGTTTCACAAAACAACTATCCTCATAAACATGCATTGTCAAAAGTCGGTCACGAACATAATGAACAATTTTGAGATTGCATTGAAGTTTAATCCGCGTGCCGAGAAATATACAGAATCCACATTACGATGTTTGAGAAGAAGCACGTGTTTGACTTGTATTGCACTGCCCAGCTTACCAACTCCCCCCGCCCCTTCCTTCCTTCTTCTTTGTCCAAAACGCTTCGACGCCTCTGGGAAGTAATTTACTCGTCAATATGACGAGGAATGTGGCGGATGTTATTACCCAAGCAAGTAGTTCAAATAGTGAATATTTGCCAGTGAGCCGTAACGACGTGGACTAAATCACGCGGGTCGTTTTATGTTAACATTAGGGTCAAATTAGCAAGGTATGTTTGTAACAGTGAGTCGAAGTGAAAGATACGTAATGAAGCTGAAAACACAATTTGTTCGTGTATTAAAGCTTATTTCCTAAGACCTCCGCTTGGAAGGTTTTAGCTGGTAAGATTACTCTTTATACGTCATTGAACAAGCATGCGGACATGGTACCGCAAGATGTTTGCGTCGACAAGATATTGTGCAATACAGGATATTGTGCTCTACACTACGTGATCGCTTTCTGGTCCGTGATTTGTATGAGAAACGAAAGGCATCTTCGGAACAGAAAAAGACAGATAAAGAAATTTAAATTATAAATTTTTTCATCTGAACATTAGAACAAAATTGAATATACAATGCAAATTAGCTTCCTCAAACAGACTGACAATGAAATGATGATGAAATAGTCTCCTCCTGAATACATTTTTTCTATGATCCTACTAGTGCACAGGACACGTGGAAACAATAAGCATAAAATAAACATTTTGCTAGCACTTCAGTCCTTCATCAGTGCACTGATTGGCTTGCTGTGACGAAGTACGATGTTTGAAACCTCGTCGGAGAATACAAAAGAAGTTCAGATCTTTATCAGTTACGCAAAACAGCTGGAAAATTACCCACTTTAATTCTGGAGTCAGTATGCGAACGCGTCTCTTCTCTTCCACGCTATACAGTCGACGTTGTATCTGTGTAGCAGCCTAAGATCGCACTGTATCCCTTTCATCAAACGACAAGTAGCTTTGACCCTGTTGCATGTGCACTACAGAAAAGCGCTAGCTCTAGTCATCAATTTGAGAAGATTCCTGCTAGCGTTAAGGTATTTATTGCTGAGAAAGCAGAATTACAATGTTGTTCACACCCTAATCTCTCCAGTTGATTGAAGCAGCGATCAAAGTACGCATAACGAATGTTTCTCTCAACTTGTGTCGTATATCGACAAGTTTGCCAAGATGTAGGTCTGGGAAAAACACAATTAAATGACTACAACTTGAAAGAGCTAAAAGAAGTGTAGGAGAGATAATTTTCAATAATCGTTTTATTGGAGGGGAAAGACGAGTTACAAGTGCCAAATGATTACAAAGAATGTTACTGCAATGAAATCAGAGTCAATTTCCTAATGGCGTCTTCCAATTAGATCCGAAACTAGGAAACCAAACTTCCCGCTTTGTAACGAAACTATGTAAAAACTAACAAAGCTCCCAGGAGAAAGAAGAAAATAAGAAGACAAAGCCTCCGAGAAGGAGTTAAACGAAATTGCTTCCACGTGGGAATCGACTGATTACTTTTCGCATCTAATCGTTTGATCAACTTCACGAAGTTAATTGAAGAATGTAATTAGTTTAGGTTATTACCAAAAAGTTGGAATAAGAAAGATGAACTTATCCACGGCCACGAAGAGAAACACAGTGAAGCGCGCAGAGATTTGCATCTTCGCTGCTCCTTTGCGAATGAATCGTTCGAGCGTAGCGTAGGTCATTAATTCAAACAGTTTTCGTTTGCAACCACGTTTCGCTTCCGGAGCGAAACTAACGCTGAAATTTGGCCTTATACTCTTTTCATTGGGATTGTGTGAGGTCAAACCAGATGGTACAAGACTATTCTTATATTCAGTGTCATGATCTTCTCGCCAATCGTTTCATCAGGATCATTGTTGTTGAACTACTCTTTCGTAAAACAGCGGCCTTCTTATGCAACACAAAATATTGTACACAGACATATTGGACAATTTTAACGTTGCAAGGGTGTTTACTTTTGCCAAAAAAATATGCAGCAATCATTTCGGGAAGTTTGAATAGAAGAGCGTGTTTGGCTTGATGTACGGTAAAAATCCTACTTTTTTCCTCCTTTCCTTCGTCGCGTTCCAAAACGCTTTCGCTGCTTCTGAGACGCAAGACCACTTAATGATATATTTTATTGACCAAGCATATGGTACAGGACATTGGCCAACGTACTCTACTTCGTGCGGATTGATCATTTTCGTGTCCGTGATTCATAGTGATATCAGCCCAGGAATATCAGAAACGAAATTTATGGTCTCTCAGACACCTCTTTTAATCAGTGAAAATTATCATTGAAGAAGTTATCTAAATTTTTATTTCCTTCCCGCCTCGATTGCTTCACTATTTTGCGGGAGGGATATGCTTTTTACTTGCAAAAGTGATCTATTACTGAACAGACACACGGCAACTTGGAATGTATTTGTTAAATAGAAAGTAGTATTACAATGCAGCCAACGCCTTCTTTTCCTCGCTCGATTCTAACTATTATCGAAGTATCTGGAACAAATGCTACTCTCGCCTTGTGTCGCTGATCGGCAAGTACGCTAAGATGCAGGTCTTATCCTAACTTGAAAGAGTTCAAATAGCTTGGCGAGAGACTCGAGCAGCAAGTTGCTGGAAATTTTTACCGACAGGGACAAGAAATGCATCGAACGTGCAGTGATAAATAAAGGTGATTGAAAAGCAGACTCAATTTAGTCAGGGTGTCATCGTGTTGGTCCGTAACTTACCATCCAAAGACGTCTCGACGAAACAATGCGAAAACATACAAAACTAGCAAAGGGAAGAAGAAAAAGAACAAAACGAAGCCATCCGAAACGAGACTATACGATATCAACTCCACGTGGGGAATAGAATGATAAATTTTTGCAACCGCGTGTATTTCGTGTTCTGTAATACCTTGCAAACACCCTCGTTTTTCGTGTTCTATAATCCCTTTGGTTAGTACCTAAAGGTAGAGCAGTGAATGAGGAACTTACCCACGGCGACGACGAAAATTAAACTGAAACGCACAGAGATCTGCATCTTTGCTGCTCCTTTGCAAATGAGCTGTCGAGAGAAAGTTAGGTCCTATTATATTTATGAAAACCGTTTGCTTTACCGACTTTTCCGCTTTTTTCTCGGTGACGTCAGCTGAAAGTCCGGATATGCCTTATTATATGTGCAAGGCTGGCCCGGTTGACTGGACTCCAACCATGATACAGTCACGTATTTCTTACAAGAAAATTGAAGACCTGAATAAATTGTTGGCGACATCAAATGTCCTCAGCTAAATATGTTTGGTCGCAGTGATGGTGAACCAGCTGCTGACCGAAACTCTCTTTGCAATGGGTACCAAAACTCCTAACCTGTCTTTCTACCCTGTCTGATGAGTTTAAAACCTTTTCACGTCGCAATTTCGAAGGTTCGTATACCGCTGTCAGAGCCACTGACATCGGCATTGGAAATATTTCAGTATAGAATTGATGTTTCACGTAAATGCGTTGTATCAGTTCTGTTCCTAAAACATTTCATTTTCGGATAATTATCAACGAAAGTACAACATACGAAAGATGGGATGAGAAGATGACAGAAGAGAGCCAGGCGACACAGGTTACACGTTAGACTGTCAGTACTCACGGATAGTTTAACTTTATCATTGTGACCTTTGAGAGGTCACGTGTAGTGGGTTATTAGGAGCATTTAAGAAAACGAACACACGAACTGGCGGTGAAGAGAAAATAAAAGAAACCAAGTACGTATCAATTCCAAGTTTATTGTCACAATAATCAAAGGGTAGCAAAGAAACGTAGCGACGACATTAATTAAAAATATTCGCATGATATGGTGGGCGTCGAACTAAAAGGTAATTCAGAAAAAAAAAAGTTTATGTAACTTACATTGTACATACCGAGATCGAAACTAACTGGGAATTACTCCAAATAAAACCGATAATCAGAGTAACAATAAATCATGCAAACAAGTTGTACCAAGTTACAGTTGACTTAGCTCGCTCGCAATCGTTTATTTAACCGGCCATGTCTGATTTGGAGATTGTGGCGGCGGCAGCGGGAGTGAGCGGGGAAAGGCGATAATATGATAAATAATCAGTAAATAATCACTGATTGTTTAAACGAATTGTGAGAGTCTTTAAACGTTACAATTGTTTAAAATACAATTTCAACTGCCCAAATAGGCAGAAAGTCGCTGTCTAAATTTTAAAATGCCAATGTCGCTGTCGATTTCACTTCTCGCTTTGTCGCTGTTGTAATATCGCGTAAGCGGCTTGTCGTTGGTCGTTATTTCAGCTCCTTCATGTGGCCGTTTCAGGTCTTTCATTGCCTTGTCGTCTTTCGGAATTTACCCCTGCAGGACTTCGTTTATTGCGTGAGCCAAACCAAGAACTTTTGTGTGGGTGAAAGCAAAGACCAAAGTAAGCTCAGGAGACAAACCAAGCACATCCACTTAATTCAACAAAGCAGTCACAATTCAGAGACTCATCACGATAGCTCAACGCAGAGTAACTTCAGACTTTGAATTCATACAGTAACTACAATCTAAATATAAACGAATGACGAAATCATACCGAGCAAAAAAAAAAACTGGACAAATTTATGCAATCTACCGCCTCGGACGATATACATTTTAATGAAAATATTCAAACCTTTTTCTTCTTATTTTTCAGTGATGAAGAAATGCGGGTAAAACACGTTGGTAATGGTAACAGAAATATGTCGATGTTTTAGGGCTCAAAGAATAGCGCACAGCCGGGTTGTGTGTGGACATTTTGAAAGATTGCATAACTAACCGCCACCCTTTACAAAACTATACAAATTAATACCCTTCGATAACCTCCTCGTCCGATTTCTTAGCAGAGTCGTCGTCCGAGCTTGACTCTTCACTGCTTTTTTCGTTTAAACTGGCTACTATTAGCTGCATGTTACAGGAAAGTTTGTATTTAAAATGCCTATTTATTCTCCTCTACACAACAAATTACACAGTAATGTAAACCAAATAAGTTTATTTAGGGAAGCCTGCCGAGAACCAACCCGAAGCATATATAGCCCGAGGCATACATACATGCATACATTCGCAACTGATATACCATACACAATCCTGATATACAGTCAACTCCCTACACATTCAAAAATAGCTATACATTACTTACATGTAAACGTCACCAAGTCGGGATTAACATAGATGGGCAACCACTAAAATTAAAGGGCATTACTATACGGTTATATGGAGGCCAGAAAAAACCCCTTTGGGAAAAAATATGACAGGAAATCTGGGTAGGAACCATGGCCCAAACTCAGAGCAGTTTGCAGCCCATCCCACGAGGCTTCACAGTTAAACAAAATAAGTTTTCAAACTAAAATAAATTTGTCATCAGTCAGGGGTGGACGGTTGGTTCTGAGACCTAGATGGACATCACGTGCTATACTCTCCCTTAAACACCACTGCATCATTACTCATGGTGCTCGGGTCTAAGGCCCAGGGCTTGTCGTATCTTGTGCCGACAAAATATTTATTTCTGCCTTATTCGCAGACTCAGTCGTCAGAAATACCATTTTTCTAGCAGCCATAGCAGAGAGTAGAAATGACGATGCCTGACCAATTTCCCGGTTACTTCAGCATCGATGGTTGCCATACTTGTGAAACTATTGTCTTTTTTTATTTCATCAAAGACCTTTCCAGCAAGCTCTCTTGAGGTGAGTTTTGCAAGAAGCAAGTATGCGCTCTGCTGTAAACGCTTCTCCCCTAATTTTGTTGTCTTTATTACTACGCGATTGCCGATCTCTTCTAAAGCTAGATGGAAACTTCGTTTTTAGTTCTATTAGGGTTGTTGTCAGCTCATTTGAGATTTCTTGAAACTCTTCCTGTGGTACCCTGATTCGTTGTTTAGCTTCATGAAAATATATCAAAGGTATATATGTAAAGGAATTTTCGCTCGCTGTCGATGAATAACAACGAAGCTGCTACGAAAATCCAGGTGTCATCTACAGTGGCCAAGCAGGACTCACACTTGACAAAGTCATCGCCTACTTCTTACTTCTCGTTTCTCAGAGTATCGTTTCGCTTATCTGACAGATCCTTTATCTCGTGTTTCACTGCCTCCACATTTTCTGTTGTTCAAGGGGATACCATTTGAATCCACCATCTTTACTACTAAAAAGAGATTCATATTCTGCTTAATAGCACTGTTGTAAAACTTTAGCTCATCGATTTGTGGGTTAGGAAGTTGATAGTAACACTGGCTCTTCGAAGTGGTTGGGAAGAAGGGGGGGTGGAGATCACGAAATCCTACGCTGACAATATAGGGAGAATCAAAGAAAAGCTATGTACTTTAAGGAGGAGATCACGTAAATGCTCCGTTGTCGCAAAAAAAATCCTCCTCATCTCCCCCACACGGTTATAAAACTTGACCGGTCCCTTACAAGTAAAAATCTCAGCCTAAGCCTTTTTTTTGGGGGGGGGGGAGGGGAAAGGGTTGGTTTGCAGTAAAAGTCCAGTTACCAAAGGACTAATAAGTTTCACGTAGTTAGTCTAGAGAAGTATTTGCTGGGTTGGGGAGGGGGAGGGAGGCTGGGTGGCGCGTGGGTCAGTTGTGATAACAAAGAAACACTTTGTTTTCTTATTAATTTCCTTTATTCCAAAAATCATTAACGTACATGACTCAGCGTAAAATCTAATACGACCATTGTGAAAACAAATTAGTTTAATCGCTTTGCTGAAAAAAGAATGTGTTTTTTAGACTTATTTTAATTTTCATGATCTTTGAGTTTTACAATGCTTTTATAAAATGTGGTCGCTCAAGCAGTTAAGATACAAAAACCAACTACTAAAAGGAAATATTCAGACTCAAGACAAGCTTACAGTTAATTCAAATGCTTCGTTTACAATCAAACTTGACTAAAACTGTTAACAAACTGGAATAAAATGTTGAAGAGGGAAACCTCTTCAACGGTTGAAAAAGAAACAAATGGACATGAAAACTAACAACAGCGCCTGTATTACACCAGGTTTAATGCCAGCAGCTGCATTAATGCCAGCAGCTGCATTAATGCCAGCGGGTCCACTGATGTCTTCCACACCATAGCACTGATCGTTTCCGGTCGCCCCAGGGTCTCGATTGTTTGCACAGAAAGGATTGTAGTCAGCGAGGCCCAAGTCAAACATTTCTCTCTCAGCAGAGGAAAAGGTGCAGTTAGAATTGATCAGATTCTTCAGACACTTCTTCTGCTTGGCTTCCTCCCTGAAACAATGAAAGTTAACAAAATCATTCTACGTATACCTGTTCCCCTCACTGTACAATGTTGGATCTGAGACTATATTGATTTCGAGCTATTTCAGTTCGTCACCCTCTTAACGCGGCTTGGTCATTAGCATTTTCTTGCGCATGCGTTTTAGACAGTTTACTGGATTTGCATAAAGTACCTTCTTAATCTGTCGGTTAATTCCGTTACTATTAGCAATGATCATAATATTTCTGTTTTTATTTTCTGCTCTTGTCAATCAAGGAGCGTTTTTATTTGTCCTTTATCTCTTCCAAATTTTTTTAATTTCCAATATTATCTTCTCTTCACGGAGCTTTAAATTGAAAGAAATATGGTAGATTTTAATGTCTTCTAAAGTTAACAATACGTAAAGTCAAGGCTGTTTTAACACGCTCGGGTAAAAAAAGGAACTGGGAATAATGGTTTGATTCTTGTCTCAGGAAAAGAATTTGCTAAACTTTTACGTCTGTTCCCAAATATAAGGTTATTTCTCAATTTGTCGGGGGGGGACATTCTTGAGACAAGAATGTGAAATTGTTCTTTGTTCCACAACCGCGCCCTAATCAATCATCTCCGTTAATTTATCAATGTTTAACAAACAAGTGCAAATACATTCTGAGTAAACCCACGGCATCACGGAATCTCTTTAATTTGTTTTAAATCACAAAGAAGCATAGTTGATAATGTTGACGTCATCCATGCGTTTACATCATAAGTAACAACCAATCAGAATGCGTGTATGATTCGACTTAATGTATAAAAACAAATAGTCTACGCAAACTCACGTGCAAAGAGAGGAACTCGATTTGTCCGCGAGGTTTTTTGCCGGAAGGTCCTTCCACAGGCGTTTGCTTCAGTGACGAAAGAGCTGGAACAAGGCAATAATGCCGCTGACGAGGACGGTATTAGAATGGGGCCTTCAGAACATTCTTTGCTGTCAAAACTCTTGTCTACAGTTTCTCTGATGGTGCTGTCTGTCAGTGAGTCAGCACAATATTTCATCACCTTCACCACACAGTCTTTCATTTGGTTGAACTTAGCACTGGAATGAAAACAAGATAGCCACGGAGTTAAACCATTTTTTAGGTGTGAGTCTATTATAATCCATGAACAGAACAGGCGACCTGACAGATACCGCACTATTGCGTTACAGATGAATGACCCGTTGTACAAAATACCTCAAAGTTTAGTTAACTTACAAACAGTCTTCTTTGGGGTCCTTTTGTAGTCCTTTATAGAAAAATGTGGTGCATTTTCGAGCAGCGCAAAAGTACTCCATGAAAGTACTTTGGCCAACGCTAGGGAGCGACCCATGACTTCCAACGAGAAACGCTGTAAGAGCAATGATTGACAGAAATCAATAAACCAGTGAGCCGTTTGTTATGAGAGTGATTTTTATGAATGTGAAGTAAGTAATTAGGATGGAATGTAACGCTCTAGATTGTTATCACACAAATATTGTAAAAGCCGGAAGTATTAAGGGGGTAGGGGTGGAGGAACTCATCATCGAGGTAGAAATCTTTGAACTAATCCCATGCCAAAAATAGTTTATGGATCTGTTCCCCCTTTCCCATTCGCGGCTAATCACACAAGTTTCACTTTCGGACAAGAAACTAACGCTCGTGCAGCATAAAATCTCCCAGCCCAAATATCTTGTCTTTGTTCTTTTCACTAACGGTTCCTTTGTCATCTTGTAAGACTTTTTCGCAAAGTAACTATCTTCATACACGTGCATTGTCAAAAATCGGTCTCAAACATAATGAAAAATTTTGAGATTGCATTGAAGTGTTGTGCTCGTGCTGAGAAATATACAGAATCCAAATTAGGATGTTTAGGAAGAACAACGTGTTTGACTTGGGTTGCGATGAACTGCCCAGCCTCCCTCCCCTCTTCCTGCCTTCTTCTTTGTCCAAACGCTTCGCTTCCTCTGGGAAGTAATTTTACTCTTTAACACGACGAGCCAGGAGGCGGATGTTATTAACCAAGCAAGTAGTTCAAATACAGAATATTTGCCAATGAGCCGTAACAACGTGGACTATATCACGCGGGTCATTTTATGTTAACGTTAGGGTCAAACTAACAAGGTTTGTTTGTAACAGTGAAAGATAAGCGATGAAGCTGAAAGCACAATTTGAACGTGTATCAAAGCACGTAAAGGGAATAACCCACTTTTGCGCTGGGTGAGTAATATTACTTCTTAAGACCTCCAATTAGAAGGTCTTAGCTAGTAATATTACTCTTCATCCGTCTTTAAACAAGCATGCGGACATAGTACAAGATGTTTGCGTCTTCGGATATTGTGCTCTACATCACGTGGATCGCTTTCAGGTCCGTGATTTGTATGAGAAACGAAAGACATTTTCGGAACAGGAAAAAACAGACAAAGAAATTTAAAATACATTTGTTTATCTTAACATTAGAACAAAACTGAACATACAATGCAAATTAACCTCCTCAATCAGACTATCATGATGATGAAATAGTTTCTCGCCGAATACATTTTTTCTATGATCGTATTAGTGCACAGGACACGTGGAAACAATAAATATAAAATGTTTCATTTTGCCATCATTTTCGTCCTTTTGGCTTGTAGTGGTGGAGTAAGATGTTTGAAGCCTCGTCGGAAAAAAACAAAAGAAGTTCAGATCTTTATCAGTTACGCAAAACAGCATGAAAATTACCCACTTTAATTCTGGGGTCAGTATACGAACACGTATCTTCTCTTCCATGCTATACAGTCGACGTTGTATCTGTGTAACAGCCTAAGATCACCGTATCCCTTTCATTAAACGACAAGTGGCTTTGACCCTGTTGCATGTGCGCTACAGAAGAGCGCTAGCTTAAGTCATCAGTTTGAGAAGATGCCTGCTAGCGTTAAGGTATTAAACGCTCTGGTTTGTTATCACGCAAATATTGTAAAAGCCGGGAACATTAAGGGGGTAGGTGTAGGGGAAATCATCATCGAGGGAGTAGAAATCTTTGAAGCAATCCCCTGACAAAAATAATCTATGAATCTGTTCCCCCCTCCCATTCGCGCCTAAACACACAAGTTTCACTTTCGGACCGGAAACTAACGCTCGTGCGGCATAAAATATCTGAGACCAAATATACTGTCTCGCGTTCTTTTCAGCAACAGTTCCTTTGTCATCTGGTAAGACTTCATATGTTTCACAAAGTAACTATCCTCATACACATGCATTGTCAAAACTCGGTCACGAACATATTGAACAATTTTGAGATTGCATTGAAGTTTAATCCGCGTGCCGAGAAATGTACAGAATCCACATTAGGATGTTTGAGAAGAAGCCCCCCCCCTTTTCCTTCCTTCTTCTTTGTCCAAAACGCTTCGACGCCTCTGAGAAGTAATTTTACTCGTCAATATGACGAGGAAGGCGGCGGATGTTACTACCCAAGCAAGTAGTTCAAGTAAAGAAAATTTGCCAATGAGCCGTAACAACGTGGACTATATCACGCGGGTCGTTCTATGTTAACATTAGGGTCAAATTAGCAAGGTATGTTTGTAACAGTGAGTCGAAGTGAAAGATACTTGATGAAGTTGAAAACACAATTTGTACGTGTATTAAAGCTTACTTCCTGAGACCTCCACTTGGAAAGTCTTAGCTAGTAATATTACTTTTTATCCGTCATTGAACAAGCATGCGGACATGGTACAAGATATTGTGCAATATAGGTTATTGTGCTCTACACTACCTGATCGCTTTCAGGTCCGTGATTTGTATGAGAAACGAAAGGCATCTCCGGAACAGAAAAAGACAGATGAAGAAATTTAAATTACAAATTTTTACAACTTAACATTAGAACAAAACTGAACATACAATGCAAATTAGCTTCCTTAAACAGACTGACAATGATGATGAAATAGTCTCTTCCTGCATTAATTTTTTCTATGATCCTATTAGTGCACAGGACACGTGGAAACAATAAGCATAAAATATAACATTTTACCATCACTTCAGTCCTTCATCAGTGCACTGATTGGGTTGATGTGATGGAGTACGATGTTTGAAACCTCGTCGGAGAATACAAAAGAAGTTCAGATCTTTATCAGTTACGCATAATAGTGATATCAGCCCAGGAATATCAGAAACGAAATTTATGGTCTCAGACACTTCTTTTGTTCAGTGAAAATTATCATTGAAGAATTTATCTGAATTTTTATTTCCTTCCCGCCTCGATTGGCTTCGCTATTTTGCGGGAGGGATATGTATTTTACTTGCAAAAGTTAATAAATTTTTTTGATTGGGTCATATATTCGTGTCATATTATTGTATAGAAAGTAATATTACAATGCAGCCAACGCCTTCTTTTCCTCGCTCGATTCAAACTATTATCGAAGTATCTGGAACAAATGCTTCTCTCGCCTTGTGTCGCTGATCGGCAAGTACGCTAAGATGCAGGTACTACCCTAACTTGAAAGAGTTCAAATAGCTTGGCGAGAGACTCGAGCAGCAAGTTGCTGGATATTTTACCGACAGGGACAAGAAATGCATTGAACGTGCAGTGATAAATAAAGGTGATTGAAAAGCAGACTCAATTTAGTCAGGGTGTCATCGTGTTGGTCCGTAACTTACCATCCAAAGACGTCGCGACGAAACAATGCGAAAACATACAAAACTAGCAGAGGGAAGAAGAAAAAGAACAAAACGAAGCCATCCGAAACGAGACTATACGAAATCAACTCCACTTGGGAATAGAATGATTAATTTTTTCAACCGCGTGCATTTCGTGTTCAGTAATACCTTGCAAACACCCACGTTTTTCGTGTTCTATAATCCCTTTGGTTAGTACCTAAAGGTAGAGCAGTGAATGAGGAACTTACCCACGGCGACGACGAAAATTAAACTGAAACGCACAGAGATCTGCATCTTTGCTGCTCCTTTGCAAATGAACTGTCGAGAGAAAGCTAGGTCCTATTGTAATTATGAAAACCGTTAGCTTCACAGATTTTTTCGCTTTTTTCTCGGTGACGTCAGCTGAAGGTCTGGGCATGCCTGATTACATGAGCAAGGCTGGCCCGGTTGACCAGACTCCAACTATGATACAGTGATATGATTACAAGAAAATTGAAGACCAGAATGAATTGTTGGCAACATCAAATGTCCTTAACTAAATATGTTGGGTCGTAGTGATGGGGAACCAGCTGCCCACCGAAACTCCCTTTGCAATGGATACCAAAACTCTTAACCTGTCTTTCTACCCTATCTGATGAGTCTAAAACCTTTTCACGCCGAAGGTTCGTATATCGCTGTCAGAGCCACTGATATCGACATTGGAAATATTTAAGTAAAGAATTGATGTTTAACGTAAATGCGTTGTATTAGTTCTGTTCCTAAAACATTTCATTTTCAGATAATTATCCACGAAAGTGCAACATATGACGAAAATAAAAGAAACCAAGTACGTATCAATTCCAAGTTTATTGTCACAATAATCAAAGGGTAGCAAAGAAACGTAGCGATGACAATAACTAAAGATATTCGCATGATATGGTAGGCGTTGAACTAAAAGGTAATTACTCCAAATAAAGCCGATAATCAGAATAACAATAAATCATGCAAAAAAATTGTACCAAGTTGCAGTTGACTTATTTTGGTTTAGCTCCGAGCGAGTTAACTTTAAGAAGCTCGCAATCGTTTATTCGACCGGCCATGTCTGATTTGGAGATTGTGGCGGCGGCAGGGGGAGTGAGCGAGGAGAGGCGAAGAGAGTAATATTCCCTCCCCACCCCTATTCCTCTCCTAATTTTTGACCATCTCCCACCCCCTTGGTACAAGTTTCTTTCTCTCCTCAGCCTCCGCTGTTACTAAATATGTACGTCTATTATGAAACAGTTATGACTACCGGAAACATGGTGAAAAAAAAAAAAGATAAATAGTCAGTAAATAATCACTGACTGTTTAAACGAATTGTGAGAGTCTTTAAACGTTACAATTGTTTAAAATACAATTTCAACTGTCCAAATATGCAGAAAGTCGCTGTCTAATTTTTAAAATGCCAAAGTTGCTGTCGATTTCACTTTTTGCTTTTTCGCCGTTGTAATATCGTGTAAGCGGCTCGTCGTTCGTCGTTATTTCAGCTCCTTCATGTGGCCGTGTTAGGTCTTTCATTGCCTTGTCGTCTTTCGGAACTTACCCTTGCAGGACTTCATTTATTGCGTGAGCCAAACCAAGAACTTTCGTGTTGGTGAAAGCAAAGGCCAAATCAAGGTCAGGAGACAAACCAAGGGCTCAAAGAACAGCGCACAGCCGGGTTGTGTGT